TGTGTGTGTGTGTGTGTGGCTGATGAAACAAAAGTGGGCCAGGAGCCTTGGGGATCAAGTCATCCATTGTTGCTGCAGTCTGTCTGGAGATTATGAATGCTGCCTCTCCCTCTGCTGTCCACCTGCACATTTGAACAGTGTATTTATGCAAAGTCTATAACAGCTGAGGAGTAGCGTGCCCATGGATGGCTCACATGTCAGTCAGTATTAAAGTATGTGTGTGTGCAAGAGCTGGTGTGTTTGAGGCGTGTTGGCATTCACAAAACTGCTCTCACAATCTTGCCTCTGTTAAAAAAAATGAACCTAGAGAAACATTTCTAGGGCTGAAACTAATGATTATTGTCATTATCAGTTAATCTACTGTTTTGTATATGTGATGTCAGAAAACAATTTTAAAAAATGCCCATCACGGTTTCTCAGTTATTATATAAAGCAAAGAAAAAGTGTTAATTCTCACATTGGAGAGGCTGGAACAGGGAAATGTCTTCCATTTTTACTAAAAAAATAACAAAAAAATATCTGAAACAATTATTAGATTATCAAAATACTAAATTTTCTGTAGATTGACTGATCAATCAAATGACTAATCGTTTTAGTTCCCATAGGAATTCGCCGCAAGGTTCATCTTCATCTTCATGAGGAGAATTATACTGAAGGACAACAAAAATTAACAGCCTCAATAATCATTTTCTCGTCAGGTGTTATTGATTCTTGTGCTAATTGTTCAGCTCAGGTAGCAGAGAAATCAAACTTCATGCATGGAGTCACCAGCAGGGAGTGCTGTGCTGAGTTCATCCACTGTTCACATGAAAACATACTTAACATTTTACCTAATTGACATGGAAGGCATCTCTCACTGCTCCCCAATCAACCAAACACCTCTCGGCTAAATTTGTCCTCCTAATTTGCAATCCTCGCTTCCATCTCCCTCTAACTGTGAAACTACTTCTGGAAACAGCAGGCCGCAATCAGTCATTTTTCTCTTGTTATTTCACACATGGAGAACCTGCCATTGTTGTGTGGTGTCTGTCTTGGAGATCTCCTCTTCTACACACTGCCCTTTCCATAAACACCTCTCCCTCTGCCTCAAAAGGCCCCCAAAGACTTTTCATCTACTCCACTCCTCTCTTTTCATTTAACCTCTCATACATCCTCTGGTTCTACCTTTCCTCCAGAGACTCTGCCTCCCTCTTTCCTCTTGCCCTCACACACTGCTGTTGGCAATATATATTTAGCCTTTTGCATGTCTTTCTCTCCTCCCAGTTGTCCTCCCCATTTCCTCTGTTAGCAACTTAAGAGGCCGCTGAATGTATGATCTGTTTCTCTTTCCCTGTTCCTCCGTCTACTTAAGTGTCTATCATTAGGCTTCAAGTGTGCTGCTACAGAGAGCTGTTTCAGCTTGCTTTGATCCATATTTCTAGCAAAAGACATTTCATATCTCTTATGTGCTACAAGTGGCATTCAGCCTATTTTATAAACCAACATTAGCTTGACAAGCTACATGCTGTGGAGGTTTTGTGTGTGTGTGTGCGTGCGTGCGTGCGTGCGTGTGTGTGTGTGTCTGTGTGTGGCTCCATACCTAAAGTCACTGTAGGGGTGTATGATCCACGATCCTGCTGATTTCAGTCTTTCCTGCTCCAGTGCCACAGCTTTGTGGGATCCAAACATGCGCAAACTGAACTTGTTGACCCCCGGCTGAAGCATGGCCCCGAACTGTCTCTGGATGAAGGTGCTCTGGTTGGAGTTGCTGTAGTCTTCCCCGTCCAGCCCCATGCCAAACCCACCCAGTCCAGTGTGACCCACCAGCTCAGGGGTACCTGCTGCAGTGGTGTTGCAGGCCGTGGTGGTGGTGGTCTCTGGGCCGGTGGCCACCACCATGACCCCAGTCCCAGTGGAGGAGGTGGAGGCCAGGGCGGCGCGGGACGCGGCGAAGCCCACTGAGCGCGGAGCAGGATGGGCTGTGGCAGAACAGGAGGGCGGTGGAGGCAGGGCCACCGGGGTGGTTGGTGTGCCCGCTGTGCGGAAGGGAAGGCCGTCCCTGGTGGAGGAGCTCATGATGGAGAGACGACGGCCCCGTGCACCTGAGGAGGTGCTGTCTGCCCCGAAGGAGCCCTTCTCCCCCTCCAGTGAGGCCTGGGACAGCCTGTAGCCCGGAGAGGGCAGGCTGCCCTTACTGCGCCGCTTCGAGTCCCCTCCGTTACGTCTGGGCAGACTGTCACCCCCAGACCCCCCGGCGCTGCCGGGGGTACCCACACCTCCAGCCACCCCATCCATCCCTACTCAGGGAGGAGGAGGTGGTTGAGGGGAGGGGGAATATAACCTGTAACTCCCAACCCCTCAGGAAAACTATTGTTTAGTATAGTCGACCTGGCTAGATCACATAGGCTAGGTGAGTGTCAATGTCAATCTGAACGATAAATTGAAGAAGCTAAAGGAAAGTGTCCTCTGTGTCTCCAGTCATTCTCCTGGAGCAGACAGCTCACACCTCCGCCCTCTCTCCGCCGATGTGGCCATGCTTACCTCGGTGCCCTTGGAAAAAGCCCCATCCAGACATGAAATCCTTCACCCTGCCAGTGTGACGCCAGCAGCTTCACTTTTCCTCTTTCCTTTGTCCTTACAGATGTTTCTGTAACATTCCTCCTTCCTCGTCCTTGAAACGTTGCTGTCCGCCCGAGGCCCTCCCTCCTCTCCCCACAGCCGCCCTCAACGCTCCGACGCCGGTCATATTGGCACCGGATTCCCGGTCTTTTGTAGATAACGGAGCTCGCCCCTCATTGGCCGTCGGTGTCCTGTCGGTGTCAGCCTATATGCCGGGCTGTTCACCCAATTTTGCTATTTTCAACACATTTCATTATATAAGAGCTGATCTGAGCTGTAAGGTGGTAGAGTGGGGAAAATTCATCCGCGGATGAATGACAAGGACACTTGATCCTCTGTCAGGAGGGATGGGTTGTTAATGGACATAAGGGACGCACATTATCGGCACACACGGGCGCTCACACTCCGAGGCGCACTGATTCATTCTGACACGCACACTATCATCAACCAGAAACACGCACACAGTAAAACAGACCGGCGAGCAAACACGAGGCGGTGGAAACAAGTCAAATTACCCCAGATCTAGCCCATGTTTTCATGGAATCCGCGGCACGTTGTCATTTTCAACATCCGAGCGGAAAACACACTCATCACGATGGAAGGCGCGCCGAAATGTTGCCTGTCCGTGGCTGAAGCGCCCAGGCAGTCAGATGAGACACTACCGGCTCTTCAGCAGTGCGATTTTGTTAAACTGATGCCGGGATGAACTTGGTCAGGTGTTCAGAGTCTGACGCCCGAAATATTCTGTTCTGTCATCAGCAGAAGCTGCCATGTATTTCCACTTCTGCCGACTTTCAATGACATCGTGTCCAGACTACGACGAGGACAGATAAATATACTCTATATTTCAACAGAACAAGCTGCTCCAGTGTGAAACGGAGCGCTCTGACGAATCCAAAAGCCTCTTTAAAAATAAAACAACTTGTTGAGCCTTTAATGTGACTGCTCCTTCGCAGTCTGTTTAGAGGCGATGAACTCCAGTTTAAAGCTGAAATCCACTTCTTACTCTGACTCGACACTGAGAGGTCGAGCAGACACGTCCACAGAGGCGCACGGCGCATACAAATGAAATATTAAATAAATAAATGTGCATATAAAGGTCTGGATCTAATCGGCCTGTTGCCATGGCATCGGCATCCCCATCATCCATCCCCCAAGGCCGCATGCCCGGCCGGCAAGACGCACGCATCCCTCGCAGGTACAGGTCGCGCGTCATCCTCTCTCACCAATACAGAGAGGGAGTGCATGCTGGAGAGAGTGATGTTGAAACTTTATTTAAATCTCGGACAAAGAACAAGTCTTTTTAAACAATGGTGACAAATACAAAACGACATCAAACAAATACAATCAGATTATGTCCATTAAAGGATGTCTCGTCCAAACCTGAGGTACGCAAAGCTCGAGTGCTTTATACCTGTGGGATGATAAATGATATATGGCATGTATGATGGCAGTTCACTTAAAATGACTTCGTGAACGTTGTGCTCTATGCAAGCCATGTTTTACACAATTAGTAAAATTTATCGTGACTGTGCTTGAATACAAAGTGAACATCCTTATAAATTATATCAAGGTAAAGTAACTAAGTACAATCTCTCTAATAATGTACAAGGCAAATATAGTTTTCTACATTCATTTTACAGCTGTATTTAGTTACTTTATTTTATATACACAACATATGACCATCATTTAAAATATGGTGCATTTTTTAAAAATTAATCTAGCATTAGTATATAAATTAGCATCTCAGCAGGTATAAAATTAAATTGCTTCATAATTAATGCATTAATGCCTCAATAATAATAGCAATCTACAACCACAGTCCCCATTTGGAAGCATAAAGATAAAAGTCCTTTAAATGTGTTTGAAATCCGCAAAGATATTCTCAGTGCTCAGTCTATGTAAAAGTGTTTTTTAGTGGCAGAGAGAGGTTGAAATAAACTGCAGGAGGACTGGAGGAAAGGAAAAAACAAAGACGAAGGATGCCTGCAGAAGAAAGGCAAGGATGTCACGTAAAAGATCATCAGACATGAGTAAGCCCTACACAGGAATAGATATAATTAAATTTATGGGAGAACAGTATGCAGATGTGGGCATCTGGGTCATCTCAGTGGACAAAAGGAGGTGTAGTCCAATACCCGTCGTCTCTGCATCTCCCAGCTCTGCTCATAAAAGCCAAAAGAACTGCACTGTCATAGAGATAAGCTCAGGACTATGGACAGAAATGAAAGCCTTATCTCCAAATTATATACAGTCTGCAAATAATGATGGGCTTCAACAATGGCCTGCAAAGAGACAATATTCATGTTCAATTCAGTATTACTTAAATAAGAGAGATGAGAAGAAGAGGCTGGACGGCTCAATTAGTGCAGGTTCAGGCCTGACGTCAACAGGACAACATGAATGGTTTAAGGTTTATTTGGAGGGAGTCATCACTTTTAATAAAACACCTTATACACAAATTCAACATTCATGAGACCAGTTCCAGTGGCACTCGAGTTTAAATAACAATGATGTTTCTCTCATAGTTTGGTTAATTCATCAGTGACGGTGGTTATTATTTTCAGGTGGTGCTTCTCATTATAGGAGCTGTCTTAAAGAGGCTCTACCACTGTCCGGTCAGCATGTCAGTCAGAATTAGAGTCCAGGTCAGGTCAGGTTGTTACTCGGCACTGACTGCCCTCATAATGTTGGTGTGACCGGACCCCGGGATCCAGCCTGTCACCACAATCACCATGTCACCTGACTTGAAGAAGCCTCTTGCTTTCCCTGTGGAAGCGGGTGGAGACAAACAGAGAGGTAGTGTGAGTAAGACAGTATCATAGCATACAACTACGCATGCTAATGGATGCACGCAATAAGACAAACAACACACACACACATCCACACACACTGACCTATGTTCATGCCAAAATTAACCCTGTTGTCTACATCATCTGCCCAGACAGGAGCAGGCAGAGGGTGGAAGAGGACAGGAAACACTCCCCTTAACAGCTGGGACTGACGGGCGACCTGAGGAAGAGGGTTAGGGTTAGAAATTTGGATATTATTTTCCTTACTTGTGAGGTATGATGATAAATGTCTGTCAGTCAGTCTCTCCATCCAAGACTTTAAACGTCTAAATGCAATGTCTACCTGACAAGGGCTTCTCAAGAAAGAAAGGCCAAACTTCCTTTGAATTTGCTGTGCATGCTCAATATATCAATATTTTTGCTAAACACAAAAACCCGCAGACCCAAATTATCACTTGTACACAGTGAATAAATAGATATTAGACAAAATCAAAAAGCAAAGGGGGGTTATGCAGATTAACCCCGCATGATTTTAAAATCACAGGTAATCATGGCCTACTTTTGTGACACATGTTTTAAAACAACAGAAAGCTCTGTAGAAAGCTCCATAAAACAGGATTACACTCCGGTTAAGTATCACTCATAAATATTCTCAGTCAGTGAGACCACTCTGACGATGTTCTGTTTTGAAAAGTGTGAGTCATCAACAATTAAGGCATGTTTCTGGCAGGACGAAGGCACTGCTAGTCAACACAAAGACAGTTTTATAATTCAGTTCATAGGAGCGGACTGTACCTGAGGACTTCTAGTGACTGCGATGATAGGACAGCGAGGGCGGTACCTGGACAGGAGATGTGCAGATCTGCAGAGACAAGGAGGAAAGAGGGATGAGGATGGAAAGTAAATTATCACAGCTGACACACATGAACGATGTTTCCACGGGTGGATGACAAAATCCAATGTCAAGCGTCTTAGAGAGACACTATGAGTTTCCAGAACAGCTTCAATGCTCCGTGGTAGAGATTATCCCGGTTGTGGAGAGCGCTGATCTGATGCTTTCCCATACACTAAAATGAAGATGTCACTTGAGTCTCTGTTGCTAATGAAACACCCGCCAGATGAGCCATTTTTGTGTCGTCCAAACCTCAAGGTCACTTAGACTTGACTTACTTCTTGCCATCTTGATCCAAAGTCAACTGCACCTGCTCAGCAGTGTAATACATGTCACAGAGCAATGGTAGGATGTCATAGTGCAGTACACCTGTATGGAAGCATTTTCATTCCTTCATATATATATATATATATATATATATATATATGTGTGTGTGTGTGTGTGTGTGTGTGTGCACGCGCACATTTTATGGAGAGATATTTGTTGTGGCAGGAAGGGGAGTTAGTTTACAAAGCACAACACACAAAAATGCATAAAATACAAAAGCACTATAAACATTATAGTCAACAAAACTCTACCCCTGAGGATGCAAAGGCAGAAAACAGTGCTGCAATAAATCTGTAGCTCTGCTCTGGGATAGACTAACATCTGTTGCTCCAACCTTTAAATAGCTCTCTCTGTTTGCAGAGAGTGAAAAAGAGAAACTTGCAATTGTAATGTTCACACAGGTCTAACACTTTCAGGAGTTGGCCTAAGTAAATGTCTAAAGCATGTGCATGAATTTGAGTGTATTCCAAGAAATAACAATGAAATTGGACGATTTAGCACCTTACAATTTGTGTCCAGCACCAACATTTGGTGCCAAAGCAGGTAGCAATGTGCCTTTTATGTGGAAGAAACATTCACCTTTTTTTCCCTAAATTAAACCAAGTGTTTTAGTTGCCCAATCCTAACCATACCTTAACCATAGTTTGTTTGCCATAACCAAAATCTTTCCCTTAAAATGACATCTTAGGAAATACATTGCTTTCTTGCTGAGAGTTAGATGAGAAGATCGATACCACTCATATCTGAACAGTACATATGAAGCTACAGCCAGCAGCAAGTTAGCTTAGCTGAGCACAAAGACAGGAAACAGAGGGAAACAGCTAGCCTGGCTCCGTCTAAAGGTAACAAAATCCACCTACCAGCACCTCTAAAACTCACTTATTAACATCAGGTACATATTAATTGAACATGAGAGTGGTATCAATCTAAAAAATGTCTCTGAACATAATCGAGGGTTTGGCAGAATTGTCCAATGCTGACGTTCTTGTCTGGGGATACATGTTCATATACACACCTGCCACTGGTGGTGAGGACTATGATGGCCCCAGCACAGCATTTGAAGGAGGACTCTACAGCTCCAATGGCTGTGACCTCTGTGGGATCAGAGGAGAGAGGAGTGAGGCGACGCAACTCCTCAAATAGCTGCTGGTGGAAAATGGCCGCCTCTGCCTCCCTGCAGATCTGCGAGACACAGACAGAGGATGAGAGTGTGTGTGTGTGTATGTGGGGGGGGGGGTTATCATAGGGCACTAAGTCAGATGTAACAGAATGGACATCATGTGCACACAGAAACACACACCGAATGCATCATTGCGACTGCCTCCACAGGAAACAGTCCCTTGGCGGTCTCCCCAGATAACATTACACAGTCGGCTCCATCCAGCACGGCGTTGGCAACATCACTGCCCTCTGCTCTAGTTGGCCGTGGGTGGGCCACCATGCTCTCCAGCATCTACAAACACGCACAAACACACACACATAATACTTTAGCTTCACATTAGTCTCCTTACCAGACACAAAATGTCTCCATCAGGCACTGTAAAAGGATCTGATCAATTAATCCATCAAAAATAAGCCACTTTGTATCTTTGTAATTTTTGCCCAAGATGAGACAGTGACACGACACATACAGGCTGGAGGGAGAGAGCGAGGAGAGGGGGTAATGGCTTTGTGGATGGATGGACAGCAGTGGAGGAGAAATGAGAGATCATTTAGACTGAGGCAGGCGAGTATGACTTTGTGAGATCATTATTGGCATGCTCAGTATTACGAGTCAATAAGCAAGGCAGACAGTTGGAAAATGAGATAGCTCGCAGCGTTGCATGAGAGACCCCATTTTTGTAGTAGTTAAGAAGCTGCGACTAATGCTGATTAGTGTATGTGTGTGGGTGTTTGTGGGCTCAGGTCTGGAGTAGCAAACCTGCTATAATGCTGTCACTCTGAGTCAAGAGCTGTAGCATAAACAAGATATAGCACTATGACTCAACATGGCTGCAGGAGTGTGCCTGCATGTGTGTGTGTAACTAGAGAGGGGTATGAAAGAGAGGAAATGTGTGTGTGTTTGAGGATGAATTTATTGGACAAATGAGTGTGTGTCTGTGTGAGTACATCATGCAGGAGTATAAGGTTAATGTGTTCCTGTTAGGATTTAATGTTAGTTTACGCTGAACTGTTTGACATTTCATTGGCTAACACTGTATACTCATCTCCATCCTTGTCTGTGTGGGTGTGTGTTCGTGTCCGGCTCTGACCTGTGTGGCACAGATGACGGGCTTGCCGGCAGAGTTGCAGCGCCCAATCATCATCTTCTGAGCGATGAAGACTTTCTCCGCCGGGATCTCAATCCCCAGGTCGCCCCTGGCAACCATCACGCCGTCGCTCTCAGCTAGGATCTCCTCAAAACTGACAGACAGAGTAGAAGGTGGGGGTGGGGGTTGAGCGTTTGGGTTAAAATAAGGGAGGAGGAAAAGAGCACAAACGCAGGAGTGAGCAGGGATCAGAAAGCAGAAGCAGGGTGGACAAAAACAATAACAGCACTTTGTTTCTGTGCATTAACAAGAACACATTCAAATGCAGGTCTTGATCTGCAAAAAACTGGATTTTATGAACTGTCTCTGGATCCTGAAAACATATTGAGGACAGTGTTGCATTGTGATCTAAATCTTAAATCATCTGGATGGAATCCAAATCCATATGTGACGGCAGGAAGCTGTGATGAGGACACAGATTCAGGAAAGAATACAGCTGCAAGAGATGTAAAGCAGGACTTGTGGATACACATCATCATTATCCTGTAAAATTTAATCTTAATGATCTGATAAAAAAAAAATCCCATTTAAATTAAAGCAGTAGTTAAACATTGTCAGAAGCCAGGGAGCAGTAGAGAAAGCAAGAGATAAGTAATGGAGTTGAGAGAACAGTTACATAAATTGTGTCAGATACATTAAGTGGCAACCATAACTCACAGACAGCCACACAAATTGATTATCATAGATGTGTAACATCCAGAGCCGACATATGTCCATCCATTACTACCAGCTGGCTGTCCACAGGAGGGGCAGATTGGCGGATTTATACGTCCTGTCACAGCCTCATTATGAAGGACTCACTGCCCTCAGCGACTGTATCGCTCAAAATAACTGCGCCGAGATGGTTTAAGTTCAGAGGCGTTTTTCCGTGACTCACTTCTGAACACCTTGCCGGCTCTCCACCTTGCTGATCACTTTGATTTCTCGTCCGTGTGCCCCTAGAACTCGCCGTACGTCCTTGACATCCTGGGCTGAGCGGATGAAACTGGCGAACACCATATCGACGCCCTGGGCCACCCCAAACCTCAGGTCAGCCTCGTCTCGCTCGCTGACCGCCTGCAGGCCGATGAGGTCGCAGCCGGGGAGGTTGACGCCTTTGCGACTGCAGAGCACCCCGCTGGCCTCTACCACTGTGTCCACCCAGTCAGAGCCTGCAGAGGGCAAGGAGAGGAAAATAAGAGGTTAATTAAAATAGCCCTTTAAGTTTGGATCCAGTCCTGTTATATCACAACTACAAGCTGTTTGGAAAAAAACATCTGTCAGTATGATTTAGAATCCACTATTTAGAAAAACCCTGACCTGAGAACAGGAAAAAGACTTAACTCTAGGTTACTCTAACCTAAAAAGTCAACACATTTAAAACCGAGTTTCATCGTGCAGGAAGTAATGCAGAATAATGGAAAAATTAAAGACTTATTAGTGGAATGTCTATGGTGTTTGTGTGAATTTTTAAGTTATTATTTTGGTGTAAATCACAGACAGCTGCGCCTCAGATATGACCCACACCAGCATAATAGTGCAGAGGCAGATGTTGGTAGGGGGTTGGAAGACACAAAGGGAACCATCATGAATGGGTTATTCAGCTAAGAAAAGGTTTCCCTTTTTGAAAAGAAAATCACATTCACAATGAAAGACAGAGCCAATCATTGTGTGACCAAATGTACTGCTCATTTGAAGACAACAATAGCACCAATAATAATGTAGTAAGCAACAAAATACAGCATAGGACAAATAGGACGCATAGAAATCAAGGCAAATAAAGTGACAAGTAGTATGTGATATTGGAAGACAGACAATTGGACACTTATAGGTATATGTTTGTGTCAATGTGTATATGTATATTGTATGTACAGTATGTCTTCAGGTATGTATATGTGCATGCAGAGGTAGAGTTCGCTACAGGTATGTGTATTACCTATTTCTGTGACTTTGAGTCCAATGAGCCCATCGTCAATGTAGATCTTTCCTCCCTTGGTGAGGACTTTGGGCAGGTAGGGATAGTCCACCCAGATGATCTTTCCATCAGTTTTGTCTTTGTCGGTCTCTGCCGTCACCACACGAACATGGCTGCCCTTTTCCAGCTCCACCTCCTCCTCCACTTTCTGTTCAAACGCACACAAACATAGAACAAACCATCACAGACAGACACTCATTGGAAAGAAATGAATGCTGCCTTTAATCAAACACCATTATCATCTCTATATTATCAACACATTTTTAAAGGCAAAGGTTCACTTGAGGAACAGGGTCATTTTTAAGATAAGCACTTCATTAAATAGCATTTTTCTGTCAACACACTGTCCTTCACAGACCTATGGAAGGTGTTATCATGTATGCGTCATCACTAGTTGTTTCAAGGAAATCTGTTTCAAGGAAATCCTCTCTGTAGGTGCAATCAGTGTGGAGTTTTTTTCCAAGCCTCTGTGTTTGCTGCAGGGTGTCTACACAGACATATACACTGTCCTGTATATTATTCACCATGAGCATAAGGACCAACAAACTCAGTGTGTCCCTCAAATGTTTAGAAAAAAGAAGAACTGTAATTCATGTTCTGCTCTTACTCAAAAATGAATATTTTCTCCACTGGCATGTCAGAATTACAATATGCCAACCCTGGAATAGCAAATTGATGTGACTCTATTGGCAAACATGGAGCTAATGCAAAAAATAAAAACAATGAAGATAAATACTGACCTTCTCATACTGAGAGAGAATCTCTGTTTGCTGCTGCAAAACCACAAGCTACATCTGAGCCAGACTGAAACCTGTTTGATCCAACTCTAACCACTGCCTGTTTGACTTATGCCACTCTAACCTCCGACAACCAGCAGGTGTTTTACAGTGTTTGTGGCTGAATAGTTCTGGTAATTCATTTTGAGCGCCAGTGATGATGATAACGTGACAGATTTTGTGCTGTATGAGGTAATAACTGTCACAGAAATATGTCACCTGCCTTGTTTAAAACAGTTGTTGAGCTCTAGTGTTGCTGCTTCATTTTTGGATTTAAAATGACTGCTTATGTGTACTTGTGAATCTGTCATTCTTCCTGCCAATTACATTAACATGAACCAGCATTGTTTATGTTAATGTATGACAAAGAAATTGACTGGTAAAAATGCATTGTAGGCTTACAAACATACAATTATGTATAACACATGCGTTAGTAATTCTATCTTCTGATTAAGCCACTAAACAGACTTCAGAGGAGACACAACAAGCAAGATTGTGCAGCCCGCACGTCATGCAGAGCATTTTGTAAGATAATCAAGGCATGAAGAGGTTTCAAACAGCTTGGAGTCATTTGTTCAGCAAAGCAGACGTACACAACAGCATCACAAAGAACAACACAATCAGATGATGATGAAAAAGAAAATGAGGACACGCCAACGACTCCTGTTAAAAAGAATAGGTGTTCACTGCGTAAAGCAGTCAACATATTTTTTCTCTCACACCTGACTGCGTGTGACTGGTTGATTAAGTTTAGACTGTTTAATGCATGAAGCATAACACTCTCACCCCTTTCACCAATCCAGTGCGGATCTCTGGACCCTTCGTATCCAAGGCGATGGCAACCGGCCGGTAATACAAAGGGTCAGGGGTAATCGTCTCCACTGCCTCTCTGACGTTTTTGATGGTTTCACCATGGTACTGACAGACAAAAGTGGGGGGACAGACACGGACAGAATCGATGCATGACTGAATGACAGACCAAACCATGTGGGTGTAAGTTCTGTAATTGTGAGAAAGGTCTACACAGACGCAAACATAAAGTGCAGCTACATACCTCATGTGAGCCATGAGAGAAATTCAGACGAGCAATATTCATTCCTGCTTTGACCATCTCCTGGAGTTTGGGGATTGATCGGGATGCAGGACCTGAAAGGAAGAGCATTAAGAGAAAGGACATATTACATTAAACCTGAGCTGAAACAATAGGTCTATTGACAGGGAATGAACGATTTTGATAATTGTTCAAGTCATTTTTCAAGCAAAAATGGCAAATATTTCCTGCTAAAAGCTCAAATATGACGATTTGCCTCTTTTCTTTGTTTCCTGTGAAAAACAAAACAAAACAAGGAATTTAAAAATGTCATTTTGGACCAGGAAAATTGAAATGGGCCAATGAGCCAAGAAATTGACATTGGCGAATTAATCAATGATGAAAATGACTATTAGTGAATCACAGCCACAATCTGGGGAATCACAGCTCTGGAGAACTAAGAAGCTATTTGTATATCGTACTTCTTTCTAATTATTTTCTCTTTTTTTCTGGCCAGAAGAAAAAGCAGCAAGAACTGAAAAGCAACACAGCCAAGAATCAGACCCTGCCAACACACTGAAGGCACACCCGGCACACAGGAGCTGGCTGTCTGACAGGGAGCCAGCCAGCGATGACATATAACAGTTGCCAGAAAACAAACTTGAAACTGAGACTCACTGTCTGCGACTGGTTGTCACACTCACCGATGGTGCAGATTATGCTGGTGTTGCGCGCTGTGATTGGCTCCTGGTCGATGTCCAGCAGACAGAGATGCTCCAGGAACGTGTCAGCCATGCTGGCGTCCAGCTGCTGGCGTTGGATGAAAGAGTCCGGCAGTGTCATCACCTCTGAGTAGCGCCTGATACAAGCTATAGTGACAGAGAAATGTTGTCAGCGGGGTGAAGACAGTCAGGGAAAATCTACTGCCAACTCCACCTGCGAGCACTAATTGACTAAACACCTTGAACAGAAAAACAAGTGTAATTTCTTTGTTAATGATTGAAGAAGGAGAACAACACCTCCTCTATCTGTTAGGCGGGAAGAACAAAGATAAGAATGGCAGCTAATCACAACAGATTAATGTCACATATGCAGGAAATATAACGTTAAAGGTTTTATACTGACATTTGAACCAAAACAAAACAGGGGTTCGCCACACCTGCAATCCTTTAATATAAGGCTGGCCATTTTACAGACAACTAAACAGATCCAGACAAGATTCAGATTCCACATAGTTTAATAAAATATTATCACCCTCTCAACTGGCAAATGAATTAAGGAAAACTGAGACATCTTGCATTCTCCGAAAAGACACTCAAACTGAAAGAAGACTGATTTGACTGTGTTTTTGTTGTTGCCCAGTCTGTTTGTGTAGGAGCTACATGTTCTCCTCCAACCTGAAACCCTCAGTGCCAACAAACTCTCCATGAACAAGAGACAGATGAACAGACAAGCGAGAGAAACATGGAATTATCATTGAAAAACAAAAACAGTTCTCATATGATAGGTGACCAATATTTAGGTAATGACTGTTAAACTATTAATTGATTTTTTTTTTTTGTCACTTGGGGCAACTCAGCAAAGCTGTAAACACAATGACATATTACTAACTTACAAGGTTGTTATGGCTAAGGTTAGGGAAACTGTTGCCTGTTGCTCCTCTAGCATTTAACATAAGCATTTATTTGGTCCGACATTCACTCTCCTTGTTGGCTCTTTAGCTGCTAACATATTCGCCAACGTGCATGTCTCTCATGCAAAGAATTGTGGTACCTGGCTGAGGACTTTGAGCCAGTACAATGGCATCCATTTTCAAGGATGTCACAGTCAGTCAAGCCTGCAATTTCTGCACAGGGGACGAGAGAGAAGAGCCTGACAGACAAGGTCGGTGCTAACTGCACGACAGGAGTCAAGAGGTGAGGACAAAGAAGGGGGAGAGGAGGGGAGGAAGAGGAGGGGAGGAAGAAAGAAAGGTGAGGTGAAGAAAGGAGGAATCTGGAAAGGGAGAAGAAAAAAGGGATACTTTTGGTTGATTCGTTGGTGATCAGTTATTTTTTACCCTGTTAAGGGAGCTTGTTAACCAATGTCACAAATGTAAGTCATGACACTAGATTTAAATCTGTGGCTACTTTTTCCAAAGCCCTTTGCAGACAAAAACTGAGAGGGACAAAACTTGAAGGGGTCAATAGGAAACTCCTTGATGAAAATTGTGACTGGAGGTTTTTGCAGGATAATGTGAACATGCACAGCTCCTTTATCCTGTCAGTGTTTTCTCCCTCTTTCTCTTCGTGTCGTTTTCTCTCTATTTCCACCTCCCTGTGACCCAGTTCTGCCGCACTGCTGCACACATCATTACATGTCCCACTGAGATCCTCCTCTGACACATCCCAGAGTGTATACATGGAAACACACACACACAGATACACACACAAGATCATGCACTCACATACAGGTACCTGTTACTGGAAGGCTGACTATAAATAACACAGACTTTAGGTCAAAGACACAGATGTTGGAAAATATCAGTCAATGCACGGCCTTTACGGCTGATAAGAAAGGTGAACCAGGTGATGGGTGTGGCCACAATATTCCAAGAATGACCTGTTTGCAGTGGGTCACATTCTGACATAAACGTAGGTCAGTGTGTGAGTGTGTGTGTGTGTGTGTGTGTGAGTGTTTGGTTGATCAGTGAACCCCACATAAGAGGGCACATTTATGTCTGCACTGTCTGCACTGAAGTTCAAAAGACAAACCACACAGGAGGACATCATCAGACATTATCTGACCTGGTAGTTAAAAAGGGGCAAATGAGTAATGCACAGTATATGATGAAATAATCTAATATTGCCTAGTCACTGCTGTTGGAAAGTGACAAATAATTAGCCACTGATACACCTTATTAACCTCGCACAAAGCTCCTTTATACACAAAGTATGAACAAAAAATGTTCAGTTCACTTACCGATTCTGGTTAAAGCTTCCATTATATGCAAATCTACTGTTCCTCCTCCTGTATCGGTTTATTCTAGGGTTTCTTGGATTTTGTTCTGTAATTTTTCTAGATTTCCTCCTCTGTCTTTATTCTTTCCTGTGCTCACTTGTTGCACCAGTTATTCTCAGAGTCTTGTGTTACCTGAACAAGCCTAGTTCAGCCTCTTTCATTCATTTTTACCCCCTGACCCCTCTGCTGCCCCCTCATCTCTCCTCCCACTCACACCATTTGGAGTGACTCCATTGCTTGCAACAGACGGGTGATTATGTTGAGTTAGTGTAGGTGGACAAGCCTGACTGGGCCATGGGGAAGCTAAAAATGGAAAAAAAAACTTTATGTCAATAGACCAGTAATGACACTAAACTATCAGGGGGCACTACAGTACACTTGTCTTTCAGCCGCACTGCTGCAGATTATGTAATCCTAACGCTGACCTCAAACTGACACACTATTAGTCTCAAACCAGGGACTGAATATCTCTGCACTACTTTCCACCCTTTTCTGTATTGTGCTTAAACAATTAGTTGATAAAGACCTAATTGTTTAACAGTTGATCGACATTCTTAGACTAAACAATCAGTTGCTTAATCATTAGTGTTTGAGCCATCTGAACTGCAGCCAAATTAGCTGATATGTCAGTGTAACTCAAACTTGGGTCTAGGGACAAATACAGGACCTTTGGGGAATTTCAGGAGGGAAATGAGTCATTTTGACCATTATTTTACTGTTCACATTTGGCATTCTCATCCATCCTGGTCTCTCCTTTTCCACAGTGTTTATATAGATGCTAAAAGTACAGTGAAGCAGCTTTCTGTAGCTATGCAGCATCAGTTCTTTTCACTGCCAGTATCATCGTCTTTATCTCTCTATGCTCTTTGGTGTTTTTATTTTTCAGGATGTTATTGCTTTATTGTCTTTTACAGCTTTAAAATGTCCTGTCTTTAAGCATCTGTCATTCTATCTTAATATTTTTACTTGTAAAGCACTTCAAGCTACATGAAACGTGTTCTATAAATGAAGTGTATTCTTGTTATTGTTGTTATTATCATTATTATTATTAAGAAAGTCTGCATGAAGTCAGCTGAAGTCTTTTTACTGGTATCACTATCTAATTGTGCACTTTTTATAAGTGGTTTATTGGTTGTAACTAATCTCTTTATTAATGGAAAATAAGTTAATGTTTACTAATGTCAGCTAAAAGCCTTAAGTAGAACTACTCTTGATTTGCCTGGTTGTTAAAGAGCCCCGACTGTTGAGTCATTCATAAAAGGCTTCTCACTTTCTAATAGGCCAAAAGCAAAAGTAATTCACCTCATAATATAAATGTTAGTAAGAGATTCATAAAGATTTCTTACAATAATTCAAGTAAGCAGTAATGAAAAATATGAATAAATTAGTTTTGGTCCAGAAGGTCTGACAGTTAATTGGAATAATATACATGATATATTAAAGAACTACAAAGACATAGTGAGTTTCATAATGTTGGAGTATTAATACCAGCCACAACCTGGCAACCCAAATGTTTATTTTAAGGGCTTATATAAGTAATCTCTGAAAATGCCTTATTAACTATTAATTAAAAGCAATTAGTTACATCTTATACAGTGAGTAACATACTCCAGTGTTACCTTTCTAAGTTAGGATAAAATATTACTTTATGTAATAAGTTTGTCAGAAGGGTTGTGAACTCCTGATTAATTTCCTGTATCACTACTTTGCTGCCCTCCACGTCTTGAATTCACCCACTGCAGCATGTTGCTGTTTTAGTGGAAAACACTTCCTGTGCTGGAGAACTGCGGAGGGATAATGGCTTCTGTTACATAAGTATGAGACTTTGACATGAGGTGTCACGTAGAGATGATGTGTCTTCCCCTCACTGACACACTTTACTCAAAGTTTCTTGTTGGTCTCTAGAAACAGAGCTGCACTCTGCAGAGTTGTATCTATGCACAGTCACGTATGAACCCGGGTTGACAGAGGGTGTAAATCGTTAGCCAAAGGACAAACAGACCTTTGTTCCTGAGTTAGAGAAAACTGACCCTGCAGCCCTGTGATCTGTAAAGCACACACCTAGTATAATATAATAACACTGTACTTAATTACCAGTCTGGAGTAAAGGTCAGTTTTACGCATGGAGACCAAAGTGCAATAACATGATATTCAGCTTAAATGTGCAACAATTTAAACATTAAAATATGAGAATACACGAGACACGTTGCAGTATTGATATCAAAACCTAATCCCATTTGACTTTTACATGAGCGCTTCATCTTATCCTGGAAGTGGGTTCCCTGTATTGGGAGGAAATACAAGTCTTCCACCAAAGCTCGTCAGTAAACAACAGAAAAAAAGGGAAAAGCAGGAGTGATCAATATCTGGCGGGGTGACAGGGGGAAAAAAAACAGCAGGAGAGATTTTCAGCCAAAAAATAAACAATCTGATATGAAAAACACTGTTGCTTCACAGCAAGGTACAAAAACAAGTGCTGCTACGCTGCATGCAGAAGGACAGTTAATGGGCCTACACAGTGCAGAGACAGTGTAAAGTAAAGCTGCAAAGTTTAGATGTTTAGGAAGGGAATGACAAACCTGTTGGATGCGTGAAGCGGGTCAAGACTGACTGGTGAGGAGGGACAACCGAGACCAATGTTAATGAATAGATTTGTGTGGATTTTAGCGCCATCTGGTGGACAGCAGTGTTAATGCTGCTTTTGAACGCTCAGCCACAATGAAGACAACAGGAGGAGGAGATGGTACTTTTATTAGTCAGCATGATGAATTCTTGGACTGAATATAAAGAGCACGGGGAAGCAAAAAAGAAAATAACTTCACTGATTGTCATCAGAAATCTGGTGGTGTTGCTAGGTTAACACAGCTAAGGCTATATTATGTGATTTAACATGTCAAGTCTGTGTGTGTGTGTGTGTGTGTGTGTGTGTGTGTGTGTGTGTGTGTGTGTGTGTGTGTGTGTGTGTCAGAGCTTGCTGAAAGTGATCCTTGGTGGAGTTTCAGGCTGGAGGATGAGGGTGTATGTGGTTTTGATGTCCTCCGTGGAAGACACGCTGATGTGGAAGCGCAGCAGGATCTAGACAGGGAGTTGGGGGGGGGGGCGGGGGGGGGGGGGCAGAGACAGAGAGGAAGAGAAGGAGCAGTTATGTTTTGCTCAGAAGCAGTGGATTAAAGGTGACTACATTTACTGTAGTCCTTTAAGTATAATTTTTTGATTCTTGTAGTTTGAGTGTGTATTTCCGTATTTGGCTGCCTGATGCTTCTGCTCCACCACATTTCTGAGTTAGATATTCTCTCTTTTACTTCACTACATTATTTGACACATTCACGTGATAATTACTTTACAGATTAAACATTTACATAATAATACATTTACATTTAAAGATCAAACCAGTGGTTCCCAGCCATTTTGGCTTGAGACCCCTCATAATAAAGCAGTACATAGTTAATACTATTCGTTGACACCAAAGCAAAAAATGCAGTTTATAAGTGCATTTTGGTCCTACAGTCCTTTTCCTTTCCTTTCCTTTTACTATCTTATCTTGTGGCTCTTTGGAATTAGTAAAAAATTAGTAGAAAAGCAGCTCCACCTCAACCAGTTACAACGGTAAAATGCTGCTTACATGCTGATTACCTCAATAACATATTTCCTATTATTATATCAGTAACAAGTGTTTGTTTTCAATAAAACAAGCTTTGATTTTCAAATTTAGCTGAAAATTTGTCTGAACTTTTACTTCAGTAAAAGTCTTTCAGTCTGTCCTTCCTTATAAGTCAACACAGGCTTTTCCAACTCATTTCTTTCCTTTTGCATCACACCCTTTCCTCTGATCCTCCCACTTATTTCCTGTTCTTTCCTCCTTCTCCTGCCTGCTGTCACTCACATGCATGAGCAAGAGCTGCATCTCGTTCTCAGCAATCCTCCTCCCGACACACTGCCTCGCCCCAAACCCAAACGACAGGGAGCGAAACCCTGACCCCTCTCCTCTTTGGCCTGCCTCTCTGCTGCTGCCCCACCGGCCGGGGTCAAAGCATTGTGGATCCTCAAACACCTCTGCACTCCTCCCCAGGGGGTAAAGACAGACGTGGACCATCGTCTGAGGGGAGAGTTGATCGCCGTGAATAAGACAGTAAGTCAGCTGCGGACGATTTGAGTTTAAGGGAGGATTTGAAAGAGAAAGTCTGATACTCACCCCGGCAGGGACGTGGTAATTCTGAAGAACAATATCTTTGACTGGCATCCGCTGCACTGTAATTCCCACCGGGTATAACCTGACACAACCCAAAACACACACACACACACACACACACACACACACACACACACACACACACACACACACACACACAAACAGAATACATTTGACCTCCCACTCAGTTCTCAACACAAACTCAGGATTACCGGTAATCAATTCTAATTTCAGGTGTTTGAGGAGTGCACCTGTTGATGAAAACACTTGGAATGCAATGGATGGAAACAGACTCTCAGACAGCTGTGCCAAAAGCTCAGCGCATGATGTTTTTCACGCTCTATTGATCTGAATCAACCGTCACCTCAGGTTACGTCTGATTTGAACTCGCAGGTGACGTTTGTGCTTCAGGTTAAAGGAAAGGCACGTGTAAATGTAGCTTGCAGACTTCACTCAAAATGTACCCATAGAAAAAGGCATCACTTTGGAGCGGGTCATGGTTAGATTAGGTTATGTGTCTGTTTTGTGAGACTGCAAATGCAAGGTTGGATTACCTACTGGGCAACTACCTACCTTGAGTTGGAATTGCTTTCTTAAGATACTATTTACAAGGTCGAGAGCACTTTCATGCTTGAATTTTAACCCAGCACAGATGAGAAGTCCTGAAAGTGACATGAAAAAACCTCATACTAAGTTCACATGTCAACTATCTCCATGACAATTGAGCAAACTCCAGCTGCTAATGAAGGGGGCTGAAAGGTCCAGAGAAAGCTTGGAATGTTTTGTCAAATTCATTATCTTATTTTATATTTTGTTTATGTGGCACATGTTTCTAAAAAAAGTTGTTTTTAATTAAATAACCACATAGAGAGATGCATTCCCAACCGTTCAATCAGTGCACGTAATGCCGCCTACGACGTCTGTGGATTCACAGATACAGAAAAACCTGGGGCTAAACAATAATCCAGGATGTGATCACTGGTTGGTTTCTGGGTTTACGAGGAAGGTGCCATTCATAGTGTGCTGTGCCCTGTGTACGTGATAGGAACGTGGAGGCAACAGGGTACATACACAATGCAGACATATGGGTGTGGGTGTATGTCAACAGTCAACAGAGAACAAATTCCCAGGGGGCCCACAAACAGGTCTTGAGTTTTACGTACCTGAGAATCTCCTTGATTGCGCCTTTCAGTAGTGGCGCCCCCTGCAGGGCTTTCTGAGGGTCACCACCGGCCTGTGTCCACGATGTTCTCACCTGCTGCCTCACCTTCTCCTGCACCTCTGGGTTGCGGCCCAACTCAAACAGGGCAAACTGCAGGGGCACCGCTGTCTGCAGAGAATGTGGGATGAGCGGTCACACAGGAACAGTCAGGGTGAGGTATGCAAACGTAAGCAGGGGAAGACAATCAGGCACACAAACACATATACACACCGTGTCAACCCCTCCAGCCATGAGCTCAGTGATGTTGGCTTTGATGAGATCCAAAGACAACTGGCCTTTCTCCATGAGTTGGCCCAGAACCCCAGTGTAACGGCCTCCAGCTTCCCCAGGCTTAGACCCTTGACCCTGGGAGGATGACAGGCGCTGGTACCCCCTCTGGATCCTGGCATCCGCTGGAATAAACATAAGTCAGGATGATGGAGTCAGGTGAGATGGGAGTAATGAAGGAGGAATATATCGATTAAAGAGAGTTAGATCAGCCAGAAATGTAGACCACATGGTCCATTATTACTGCATTAGATGTCCAATCAATACAGCTCTTTCTACCATGACTGAAGATGTGGTCCCATGCAGTGGCGTGCTGAGTCCACAGGGTAGCGCCGATGCGGAGCAGGAGGCGATGGGGCAGGTAGAGCAGGGGAGGGGTGGTTGCCAGCATTTGCTCCACGGCCCAGATGAACTTCTGAGACTCCAGGGAGGGAGATGAGGAGAAGAGGCCGATGCGCTCCCCGTAGAGCACATGGCAACTGGCTAGAAGGAGGGAGGGTGGGGGTGTATGGGTTTGTTTCAGGGTGAGCTAACAAACTGAAACAAACATTCACAAAAGAAATGAATCATAAAACCTCCAGACTCACATTTTCATGCTTTAAATGTGACCTGTGGGTTGAACATACTGTATCATGATTTAGTATAATTTATGAATCTCCTGCAGAAAGCACTAAATAAAGTCCAAAAAAAGGCAGTTTTTTCTTCAAAAAGACAAAGACATTTCTCTCAGTGACAGCAAGAACAAATTCTTCATTTGAGAGTCAGTTTTGTCTCTCCCACACCTAGACATCCATCACCTACCAGACATGCTTGTGTGATATTAACTACACATCAGTGACTGTAATGAAGTTTCTTGCCAGTCTATTCCTACCCAGGCTTAACACCTGGCTTGGTGTGCTGTGGTCCATTATGAGCAGAGCAGTATGACTCAAAGTCATCAACTCTCCCCCACTTCACTCTCATGTACAAACAGATGCACACAAGTGTGAGTCACACAAGCATTCGCACTTGTGAATGTGGCATGTTGCAGATAGGCACATGAAAGGAGCAGACCTGGTGAAAGAATGCAGGAGCTTTGATCATCTTTGTCGGTGTTTCTATTTTTAAAAGGTGCATGTTCTCCTTGACCTCCTACATCTATAATATGTTAAGGTGAGAATATTTCAAAAATGAAACCAGAAAAAGCAAAATCGGTGAGACATTAAGGGGAAGTTTTTTGAACATTTCAAAAAGATGATGTTCCCGCAGATTGTGTAATGTCTCTGACGTGAGAAGGTGTCACAGCATGCGTCAGCAATTGTGACTCAACCAAAAGAGCTGATAGTCAGGCTGAATGAAAGCCTGTCAAAGGAGGGAGGTGACATTAATCCATACTCTCCTCTCCCTGAGGACTTGGAGGTCAATCATTGCTGGCTGAAAAGAAAACATCCCACTGGACCACCATCCTTTTACACCTCTCTACTCTCACTCTTCCTAGATAGAAAAAGAGAGAGACTTTTGTGGCCTCAATGTAAATAAAACAGGAATTCATGCGCACTCTATCTGCACAATCACATGTTTAGAAAAATACACAAGGAAACCACAGGTCACAAATCACTGGGGATGATGACCTCCGACCTTCCAGCGCGAAGCGGAAGAGATCAGGACTGGGATCGATGGTCAGACTGCGTTTCCCCTCCTCTCCTCTTCCCTCCCTCTCGACTCTCGCCTGCAGCATTTGACAGAAATCCCTCGCCACCTCATCAAGGAGAGGGAGAAAACGCTTTACGGCCGCAGTCATCATCACCTCCTTGTTGAGCAGTAGACGGTCGGCTCTCCACTCTTCACCGTTCCTGTGGAGAGAGAATTTGGAGCGAGGCGTTAAAATCGACCCGTTTCACTTCTGCTCAGTCACTGTGAAGCAGAGAATGTGTGTTGGAAAGAAAACTCATTTCTCAAGCAGATGTGCTGTTGCTCTACTGAAATATTCCTAAAGTACAGGTGTTTTGTCAAAGTCTGTGTCCCTGAATAACAAACCCCGAACTGCAACAAGTTTCTTCTGTGATTCTTAACCTCAACCCAACTTCATCTTTATTTCTGTGATGCTTGACCATAACCTAACCCTGAGCGCTGACATGTAAAAAGCCACTGAACCCTCCCTAAATAGAAGCCAGACGCCCAGACTGAAAATGACAAACTACACCGGCGCATCATTCGTAGGCATTTTGCTTTCACTTGCAATCATTGTGTCCAGAGGTTCCCTGCTTCCTTGGGCCCCTGGTTCCGGGCCCAATGGACAATGGTACATGAAACAGTATTTGAAGGGGGAGCTTCCACACAAGAGAGGTAATTATTACTTGTGTTTAAAAGCTACTCAAATCCAAAAGTAGTGTTTTTGAAAATAACTCCCAGCAACAGCTGCTTGTTTACGTATGGTGACTGTGAGAGCGCCAAATTTGTCTGTAACTGTTTCAGTTTTACTGTAACACAACCTACCACCTCATTTATTCAGAATCCCAAAATTTCAGAGGTTCAGAGCAAATTTTATGTGTAAAATGTTTCTGATTTTGTGGATTTACCATTTGGAGAGGGTCAAAAGAAATGATTCTATTGGTCACATGATGGACATCCAGAGGTTTTTTTGCAGCTTTTCCGATACTCAGGACTAAAGGTCTGGATATGGCAACTAACCAGTTGTACAATATAAAAGGACACAGTGAGAGCAATGTATTGACTTACATTCATACAGTCATTATTTGGAGACTTGTCCTAACCTTAACCATAACCACTTCATACCTAACCCCAACACTAACTCTAAACTTCATCTCAAATCAAGTCATAAAAATACTTACTTTAACAGGACTTGTATTCGTACCCAGAAGGGAGGTAAGTCCCCACAGTGTGACTGTTTAAACAGATTTATATCATCACCACATGAGAACTATACATGCATATACACAGATGTGGTACTGACTTGAGGAAGACCCCCTTGCTGTGCTGGCGTGTCTCACGATGTGTGGCCCAGGGCTGCAGGGTCATCCGTTGCGGGTGCAGGCCCTCCGAGCGAAACAGCTCCCCGATGTCTGACGGCAACATGATGTTCACACTCCCGTGTGTGCCCACATGCTCCCTTCACACACACACACACACACAGAGAAAGGCCATGGTGCAAACTCACATGCATTATTAATGATCAACCCTCTGTCTTGTTATTCTGGCATCATTGCCACACTGAAGGTGATCAACTACTTTCAATATGCATCCTTGTTTTTTTTACAAATACAATACTATCCCTCTCTCTTCCCTCTACCTGTAGATGGGGCCGAGGGCGTTGAAGGTCCTCTCCATGTGTTTGTGGAGCTGCTTGAAACAACCTTCCCTCCAGAACTTCAGCAGGTTGACCCAGCCGTTCTTCCCTGTGTGTGGGATCTCCTCAAAGCTGCGCACCCGTCCATCCACACCTCTCTTTCTAACTCTGGTGTCCTGAGCTCCGTTTCTTCCCTTCAGCTTCCCATCTACCACAGTCCCTGCTGTGGTCATACATAGAGCGTTTTGTGGCGCAACACCAAAAAACACATTTCTGGACCCACAGGTGCCCTGTGCTCTGGTACACCCAGTCACTCGGATGGACATGCTCCTCATGGTCCAGACGAAATGTGTCCATCGGCCTCATGCAGAGTTGTGACTGCCCTTGTTGTCGTCGTCTCTGGAGGGATGATTATTTCCCTCCTCCCACCCCAACCTCGTATCCTTGAATGTGTTCTGTCACTCTAATGAACTGATAGGAGGTGATGATTTACGAATCTGAGTTTCAGAGTTCAAGAGAAGCACAACAGAGCCTGAGACTGATCCAAAAGACACACAAATTCATAAAGGCCAAAAAAGAGAGAGTCCAGCTGGCCGAAGAAGTCTTTAATACAAGTTTCGGTCACAGCTAAAAAAAATCAAGAAATACAAAGATCTAAGCACATACGTGTTGGTTTGTTCTGGGGAATCTTTGGATTCTGCTTCATGTTGTATAAAATCCTTTCACTAGGCAGCATTAGACTTCTTACAAAGCAGCTCAGTGCAAACAAAGTAGTCATTACAAGAAACTAATTTCTTAAAATTTGGCTCGTACACAATACAGATACAGTTTGGCTCACACAAATAAATGTGATACAGGTCTGAGAGTATTTACAAAGAAACAACAAACATTTTCTTCAACAATTTTCTCAATCTTAATCATTAATACAAAATGAGTACATAAAATCTACTTCATGACTTATGTCAGTGTGTGTTGAAATGTGAACGTGTTCCCCTGAGGTTCCTTACTTGTGTATAGATCCCAGTTGGATCTATATCATTTAGAGAGCGGCAACAGCCCTGTAAGTAGAAACTAGCTACAGTAGCATCTATCATTTAACATCTACCACCAATCACCATGACAAGATTTTCACTGTTCAGCTTGAAACAACTGATTATGTGATAAATAACATTATGATAAAATAATAACTTAGTATAAGGCTAATAAAAGAAACAATATTCTAAATTGGGTGAAAATATGATCAAACCTTTAAAAGATCATGTTAAAACCTCATAATCAATGTTACCAACAAAACGCTAGGACGTGTTACATATTGGCCCACAATGCAATACCTCACGTGGGTAATGCAGTGTTTTACATTATTACAGTATCAGACAGTGTTATATATAACCTCACCAATAATGCTTTAAGCCCCACTATATAGCATTTATAAGCAGTACACACTAGGATGTAGGCGTACGCATTTATTTATTAATGAACTGTATTTAACCACATTGTGATTCATTATCTAAACTATTTATTGAATGTTTATACTGTAAACTAAAACAGGACGACTTACAGTGAAGTGTCACTGTACTACATCACCTCTGCAGTAACTCTCACTGACCAGTGAATTAATACAATTGTTATTGAGCGATCATAATTAACAGGAAGCATCAACTTTTTTAACATAATTAAATGTTTTATAGGAGATATCAAGTTGCCTGGCAGTTACACATTATTATTGCTACATAAAAGACAACAATAAGCATCAAAGGAAAGTCTGAACAACATGGTTTCACAGAGCCAGCAGGCATGACCAGACTGAATGTGTGCACGACTGTTGATGTGAGATCTAAAAGCACAGTTTGTGTTTGAGCAACAGTCATGTATGAGTCTATTTCCCCTGCTGCTTCCCTGAAACAACACAGTCAGAAGCCGGTGGACCAATTGTCCCTGTGATCACATATTGATCACATGACTTTACAAGAGTCCCTACTTGCCGGTTTAGGAGTGAGCGTCTTGCTGTGTTTCCTCCCTGTGAGCACCACTGTGCCGAAGGTCAGGCCTTGAAAGGCGCTCAGCAGGTCGAAGCCGTCGTCCTTGGTTTTGGTTTCAGGATGAATGATCTTCGACAGCTCGTGGGGGAGCGACAACTTCCCGCCAAAAGACCTCAGGTGGTTTGTGTCCTTCGGGTTCTAAATCATGAGGGAAAAATGGAAGAGGAAGAGGCTCGAAGGGCTGAGCACTTCACAAAAAATGAGAACTTGACGATCTAAATTTGCTCTGTATTTGTCTACATTACTCGTAGAACATGGATACCAAATACAGAGAGACCTTTAAAGTGCAGGCCTATTATTCTCTTTTTGAAGGTTTGACCAGTAGGCTTTCAAAGTAGGGCTTTGTGCAAATTAAGAGTTAAATGAGTCAGACTTAAATGAGTCAGAGTTAAATGACAATTAAATGAAGTTTCTGTAGCACCATATGTTGTATGGTGAAAATGGCATTGAAGTTTGCCGGACAGTTACAAGTTGATTTGTGTGTGCGTTATTTTAATTTATTTTGAAAGAGGTAATGAATATAAGAATCTGGTACCAATAACTTTCATTGAACATCCATTCAAATTTCTTATATAAATGGTTACACCGATGTCCTGTTTTACTGGAGTAAAAACATAAAAACGTAGCTCCTGTTTATTTCTCGTTGTAATTTAAACACTTCCACAGACCTCAGACAGCTGGTATTTTCTCCTGAACTGAGCTCTCATAGTCGCTCTCTGAGCATTCTTCTGCGCGTTCATCGCTTCCCGCTGCTTTCTGTAAACACAGCAGACAAACAAATATATTTGACACACTGCAGACAGAATTCAATTAAAGCTCATCTCTGTGACGGCACAGGTGACTTGGATTAGCTCAGTTCATTTTAGCTGCCTCCTCTAATGAAAGCATCTTGAGGCAGCTACAGACGGTGCCAATATAAAAGTGGCACTTTTGAAAACCACATGCACGCGAAGCACAAAGTGCCACAAAGCATCTGCTGCGTCACAGTATTTTCTTTCTTAGGTTCAACTTTGTTTCATGTGCAAAGAAAAATCAGTTTTCACTTTCACCAATTATCAAACTGCACATGTTCACAATATGTTTCCAAAAAGCACAACTGCTGTGAATACACATGTTTTCAGTGGTGTAAAGTGGCCAATTCTATTACTGTGGTACCTGTATTTTACTTTACTATTTCACAACATTTCATAATGACACATTGTACTTTTTGCTAATTTACATTCATAATTTATCTAACAGCTATAATTAAAAGTTATTTTATATATTTTTTACAATACAAGATTTTACATATGAAGAATCTGATTACCTAATAAAATATAATGAATTGTTACAGATGAAAGAGAACATAGTTTGATAAAATAGTTAAATTTAGCTTAATCTTGACAAGCTACAACTCTAACATGATGTTTATACATCAATGCATTATTATTATTATTATAACATCATATAAAATAATATATCACTCACAGGTGCCGTTTTTCTGCATGGAGTATTTTTACTGATACTTTAAGTAAATGTTGCAAATAATACTCAGGCATTTATACTTAAGTAACATTTTCACTGCAGGACTTTTACAAGTAATGAAGTGTTATTACAGTATGAGGTGTTATTACAGTAGGGTATGAAGTATTTTCCTCCACCACATGCATGTTGTGTTTCTACATTATACACAGTGTTCACTTGCCTCTCCTTCTCCAGGTCTGCCTGGTACGAGCGAATGACTGACGGGTCTTTGGGATGTGCAGTTCGGAGTGGAGGATTCCTCCCAAATCTCTTGCATCCTCCTCTGCCTCCCCGACCTCTGACCCACTTATTCCTGGGTTTGGCGCACAACTTCCGTTCCCTCATCCCCGACACGCAGCTGGTCAGCTTCCTGATGGGCTTCCTCAGCGACTTTTTCATTCTCACCACAGGCTCCATGATGCACCTGAGCTCTCAGGACAGGATGTACTGACCACACCCTTACTTCTTTGACAGATGATGAGTGAATATATAATGGTTTTCTCCTGTGCGCATGTTGTGTTGCTCTGACAGGACTGGCTCAGGACACACACAGTCTCACGTCCTGTGGCAGCAATAACTCAGGTTGAGACCTGCCAAGGACAAGGACAGCAATCAGACAAGGCTCAGACACATAGACTTAGTAAACACACTCCTGCCTCACACACCCATGCGCTCAAAGGTTAGATACATAAATTAAGAGTTTGTCATCTAGACGAAAGGGAAGTACTAAAAGAGAAAGATGGAAATGACAAAAAGTAGTATTTATCCACACACAAAATTAACTTAGCATGGTCACACTTTTCTTACCCATGCAGGTGGCCACAGTTGGCCAGAGGCTCGCAGCACAAAATCCTGATAAAGCTCCAGCCAGATGGCCTCCACCGCTACCAGACAATCCCCTAAAGCTTTAGAACAAACCAGAGAAAAAAAGAGGAAACAGCAAACGACTCTCCACAAGAAGTTGTGCCTGTGCTCCTTGGCCCTCACAGGAGAAAATGACTATTTCCAGGTTTCAGGCTCTGCTTGTTCTTCTTCTTCTTCTTTGCTGCTCTCCTCACTGCCCCCAACTCTCCTATACAGATTACCACTTAAAGGATTTAATGAGGGGAATCTCGTTAGCCGTGGCAGTGAACGCACCCGATGACTCACGTGTTTGTGATGAAGATTTAGAGAAACTAGCTGATGTCATGTTGAGTGACACATGCATGCATCCACAGGCCTGACATCAGTGTTGTTCCTATATTCGGAGTCTGATTTTCTTTATCTAGGCGCAGTAGAGCAGTGAAGTTGGGGAGATAGCAGGTATTCAACTTGAGCCCAGGTACCAAGAAAGATTTTTGCCAAGATATAACTTCCAGCACCAGCACCTCCTCACTTCCTTACAAGACCATAATCAGTATTTGGTTCACTGGAAATACAGAGATGAACACAACGTTCAAATGTGATGTGAAAAGAGGAAATGAAACAAATAGACACCTGGATGGAGGGAGTTTGGCCTGAGACAGCAGCGCCCAGGTTGCAGGGAGATAAGAGAAAAGTATTGACAAGTGGAACGAGAAGCTGTCCAAACTGTTCGAGAAGACGTGACACAGTGAGGTCACCGCTCCAACTACCCCACCAAAACAAAAAAACATGTCAATACCAAAGCTTGGTTAAAGATGCAGAGCTCGTTTTTTGTGTTCTGCACCGACGAAACAAATGCATGAAGTGTTCCCGACAGTCTCTTTCAGTCGTTGTGATTTGTTGTTGGCAGCCTGAGCTGTGAGCCACATAAACAAGAGATCCACAACAAAGACCGAGAACAAAGGAATAAGAGTTTACCTGGTTTTGTTGTACAACCACTTTAGGTGGTGTATTTAAAAAGAAAGCTTGCTCCTCGGCTCTTACACACAATGGATCAGATATATTTCATTTTATTCAAACCTTGAACGTAGACATCTTTACTGTTGCACATTGAGCAAATTCCCATAGTCCCTGACTGAAATGATCTTTATCATTTGTAATGTAGACATACAATAGTGCTAATTTTGTTTTGTTTAGGAGACCGTGTAAAGAATTCTATTTATTATTATCATTACCCCTCTTTCTCCCACTTTATTAATTATTTTCCTGTTTTAAATCCTTATTCATATAAATTATCCGATATTTTTAGTTCCCCCATTACCCATTTATGAGTAGGCCACCACGTACTCACGTAAATGGTTTATAACACACTATAATGTAGTAGTAAACAGATAGAAGGACATTTTAAGTGAATATACTGTACATTAATTAGCGCTTCTCAACATTTAAAATTTTCTATTTGAAGACATATTTTCTATTTTTACAACTGTGTTCTTATGTGTGTCCAAAGCAGGAGTTGTAGCTGTTGTCAAATACATTGATGAGCACTAGATAAACACTTCAGTCTTACAGCTACATTATAGTGTATTTCAAACCATTTATTAAATGTTTACATAATAAACTGGCAGATTTAAAGCAAAGGGTTACCCATGTCTGGTCTCAGAATTTGCCCCATCACTTCTCCGTTTGACACATTTTCTATGATTGAATGTCTTTGAATGACTCCACTGTGAATGTTGTGCTCTGTGGCCTACTCTAATGCCCCATTTGGCAGCAACAGCACATACACACGCATGTGGTCCTGAACACTTCAACCAACACATTTAAAATCCTTCAGTCCCTTGTTTCCTTCCAATTCTTTTCCCTCCGCTGCCCAGATCACTTCGATTTCTGACAGGTGGAGATGCTTTAATGCTTTAACAAGATCACCAAGAAAAGCCACACCTCCCCAAGCATGTGTCCACTAACAGATCGGGGATCGGTTCACTCATCCAAAGTGCTGGCACTTACAGCCTAAAGGAGGGAGGTGGAGTTGGTCCTGTGTCAGCAGTACTTCTCTCCAGCAGGAACAGATCAGATACAGAAGAGGGAGAAACTGAGAAACTGATGGATGTTCATATCATTTATATGTTGTTAATATATCAGGCTGAATTTAGATAAGTAATGCCCACTATAATGTCCATTTGTGTGTGTGTGTGTGTGTGTGTGTGTGAGAGAACAAGAGCTTCCATGCGAGAACATAGAAAAGAGCCACTTAAGGGATTCTCAGGCGGATCAGTGTCCAACACGTGACAGTCACTGACACCCACACACACACACACACACACACACACACACACACACACACACACACACACAAACAAATACACACAAATACACATGTTGTCATGCATGAACTCACGAGAGGCGTGCCTTAAATACAAACAAAGGGTAAGCTGTATATTACACACACACATACACACAAACACCCACACACACCCACACACACACACACACACACGCGCAAATCCAGCTACACAACAAGGTGGTCAGAGATAATGTTGAGGTCACGGCCCAGTGAGGATTTCAGAATAAAAAGGCTAACTCATGGCAAAGTGTTCAAGTGAATTACCATGACATGACATGTGAAGACATGCGATCTCACACGTGCTTACTGTGTGAGCATTACACAGCAACACACACACACACACACACACACACACATACAAAGGCACTGATGTCATTCACGTAGCGCCATGAATATAAACAGTCTTGGCAACATTATTGTTTTAAATAAAGCCAATTTTTATATTTTTTATATTTTACATGTGTATTTACATTTATCTTTGTTATCACTATTTAATAAAAATTTTAAGGGACTCCAAGAGACGGAGACATGAACATTCATTCAGGTTCACCTGCAGCCTGCAGTACTAGATGAGACTTTTTGTTGAGATGAATTCAAATTCTTTCTTTCCATTTCTACACTCATGACCTGTTTTTGTCTTGAATCTCTGCACCTACAGCAAGAAACTGATTTACTTTCCCTCAACACGTCTCCATGCACATAAAAAAGTCTCTTTAATTTTAGCATCATTCATGCTCATTAACAGCCTAAAATTACTTTTAACATTGCCAAGACAGAAGCTCATATTCACATTTATACATACCCTCAGTAATACACACACACAGGTACACACAGCCACCCACACACACCCACACACACACACATATTCACACTTCAGAAGTATAAGGTCTCATTCAGTCAGGCACACATACACTGAAACTAAGTCTCTCTCAGCTCTGCCAAGGCTGAAGAGGAAAGTTGGCGAGCGCACACACTCGCTCAGCCTTGTGACCGTGCTCTCTGCTGAGCTGCACTCAATCAAGATGCCAGAGGAGGGCTGCGAGTCAACGGCAGTTACATGAGGAGCCTGTGTGACGTGCACGGACGGACCGTACGCCGGGTGATGAGCTGAGAGGCCACAATCACAACCCGAGAACAGAAGAGCTGAATTTATTATGTGACTAAAGAAACCATTCTATACAAAATGTATTACAAAAAACATGTTGTTATAAAGTGACTGGAAAGATACGTTTTAAGATTTTGTATCTACTGTATATCCTCTAAATTTTAGAGATACAAGATGAATGTATATTTTACATTTTTTTTTTTTTTAGCATTTTGAAGCAGACTCAATTTACTTGTGAGGATCAGTCTTCAAAAGACAATTCCCTGTATTGTATCACATATATTTACATTGCCGGCTAACCAGGCATCCATTAGCTTCCAATCATTTCTGTTTGACACAAAACTCTATGAGCACACAGGTGAAACTCGCTTACTCTACTCAGTGAAAGTCAAGTATGCATTAATGTTTTTCATTGCATTTGGATTTTCATGCGACACAAAAATAAATAGTTTTAACATTTAAAAAAATCTGAAACATTACAGTCTTCATTTGAACATGGTCAGCAAAACGTTTTGTACGGCACTTTGGACAAAAGTGTCAATGAAATGAATGTAAATGTTAAGAGGCTTCAAGAAGGTGCAGTCATAAAGACTACCTTTCATGCTTAGCAGTAAATCACATCGACCTTAAATGTAATGACCTGTGCCGTATAATTGAAACTGCCTTGCCTTATTAGTATTAGATTTTTTTTCCGCTTCCTGCTCCTAATTTGATCAGCTGACTGAGGGCAATCCCTTTTCAGCCTTACCAATCAGATTTTGCCACGACCTTTGTGAGACAATTATGTAATTGACGTCAACATTTTTAAATCTGTTCATTACGCTGCAGCTCTCATCTGTCATTACAGTGTCTGACCAAATGGATCCTTCCACTGAGCTCATCAGGAATCCCGATTCAGATCACATCCATCCTAAAGTTCAGCTATTGTTCTCCACCACCGGGGTCTAGACTCCATCAGGAGGGAGGGGAGTATTCCTGTACGGCTCATCGCGTGATGACACTGTTGAAATGTAATGTAAAGTACGCATGATTGGAAAACTGGGAGCTAAAACCTGCAACTGCAGTGGTGTGGTCCTCACAAGGGTTACGTGACCATTCGGGGTCATCTGCTCATATCACAGCTGTTCCTCCAGACTTGACTCCTTCCTGGCTGCACAAGGGGCAGGAAGAAGGGGTGGCGCAGAGCAGAGGAAAGAGAAATGCGTTTTGAAGGCTCGTACTCCAGCATCTTCTCCAGGAGATCGAAAAACTGGTGGTGTTCTGTCCCATGTGACATGCAGTGCTTCTGAAAAAAAAAACATGGATTAAGAGGGCAGCTTAATGTTTGAGGGAGCTAAGGTACTTTGCTGATGTGTAAAAGTTGAAACCCGCCTCTGCTCACCCTTAGTGGTTTGCATTTGGCTTTCACGTAGCGTCCGGCCTTGGAGCACTCGTTCCAGTCTAGACGCCCACGGTGGAAATACTTGTTCTTCCTTAGGGAAAAAATAAAATGTCAGATGAAAAGAAAAAGTGTGTGAGTGTGTGTTTGTGTGTTATTAGTTTGCATGTTAACAGTGTGCAGCTTTGTGCTACCTGCTCCTCTGGATCATTCTCTGAGGAATTGGTCCCTGTATTCTCTCCATCATAGCAAGATGCTCCTTATTGTCATGAGTCTACAAGGGGGAACAGTTGTCAATAAGATCAAGTTCATCCTACTCTCAACATGCTGTAACTCTTCAAGTGTAGACAAACAGGTGACCTGGAACAGTGTGAAGCCTTCGTAGTATTCAAACAGGATGCAGCCGATACTCCAGACATCACAAGGGTGACTCCAACCCAGCTCTGCGGGAGGGCAGACGGACCAAATCTTTACAACTTAACAGGACTGACAGCTCCTGGTTACTTTCCAGTCTGAACCAGCATCTCTTACCCAGAATGACCTCTGGTGCTCGGTAGTGACGTGTAGAGATGACGGCTGAGTGGTGTTCATGGTCAAAGGTGGCACTGCCAAAGTCAACAAGTTGCACTGTTGTGTCGTTTATTCTCCGCTCATTGCACTTCTGAAGGAAGACGGGGAAGAAAAGTCTACAAATTTTACCTCATTGAAAGGATAATTACAGTTTATTTGTTATGTTTGGTCGTCCTGGCCACATTTTCTATGGGTTATAATAGCAGCGTACTTAACAATGTATCTTGGGATCTGGGAACACAGCTACATAACTATAATGTGGTCTGACAGGGCAAGACTCATACAGACAATCAGATGTGTAAACAAGCCCACAGTTTAGCCAAATCTATACCACTTTAATAACATAACTTAGTACATGTTATTAATTGCAATGACACCCACAACGAAAACCCGTCTTGAAATAAGATAGGATTTTCCTTGAAGAAAAGTGAAAATATAAATAAATCTCTCTCCAAAGACACCGACCATTGTCACACTGAGGTCAACAAACACAATCCACAGTCTGCTTGGATAGATACGTGTGCCTATAAAGGGAACACATGTAGGTGGCACACAGGTTCTGTGGATACAAATTTGCATCCAAATGGGCAACTACAAAGCAAATCTGCTTGTTCTCCCTGCTTTAATCCCTGCTTATTTAACAGCCTGATTTTCTTTTTCACCCCTGAAGGTCCCAGCGTTCCTGCCAGCAGCTGTTTCTAACCTTCTCTGCGTTGTATATGAGGGAGTAGTCTGAGTTGACAAAGAGGATGTTCTCAGGCTTCAGGTCGGTGTGAGTCAGCTTGTTGTCATGGAGAACTGCAGTGGAGACAGAGGGAGGGGGAGAAGAGAGAAAGTAGATTTAGATTCATGAGGAGACAGCCAACGCCCTCCTCTGGTCGAATTTTCGGTTGGTTAAAATGTCAGACATCGTGAGGTCTGATCATGTGTGGGGAAAATTAAACGTTAGTGGAAAATGATATGTATCAGGAACCCTGACTGTTCCATCCGGTCTGATGAAACACTGGTTAAATTAAACAGAATGAATGAATGTCCTCTTGTACTGGAAATGTACAAAAGTTTTAAAATAACATGACTGTCCTGTTCAAGAGGACATTAGTCAACATGCTACTATAAAGACAAAATGGTATCAGGTTATGCTTCAATCAACAAATCTTTAACTTTAAACATAAATAAATATGCTGTATGATGAGCAATGTCATACAAGGTTTCGCAGGTGAAAACAGAAATATTGGACATGGAATTTTGACCTAATGATGGTGCTAAATGCAAAGTCTGGGATCATCAAATTATTGAATTACGTGTTTAAAAATGTCAACCAGCTGATGCCATGAAGAAAAGTCACTCTTTGTCATATTTTAAGAAAAAATTAGAAATAATATATTGATTCTAGCTTCTCAAATGTGAAAATTAGTGGGGTTTTTTTGGTCTTCTACTATACTTCGGGGTTTCGGTTGAAAGAAACAAGCAGTCAATAAGAATTGTAAATTGCAATCCCAGATGTGTTTGTCTTTCACTTTAATCCGGTATGGGAATACAAATCTGGAACACACACTGTCATCTTCAGGCACCAGTCACCCTCCAAATATCTACCTGGCTTGTCTGCTGCAGTGGGACACCTGTGAATAATCTGCTTACTGTCATCACTGACATTGATCCAGAGAAAAAGCAAAGGGGTACTGCACAGTCGGTGTGATGCACATTGGACTCACAGCTGACAGCATGGCAGATCTGGTGGGCCATGTGTCGGATCTGGATAATGGGATAAGGCAGGAAGTTGTTTGCTTTCAAGAAGTCAAAGGTGCTGAGAGACAGCAACTCAAATGAGATGCACACATGGCCGTAGTAGTTAAACCAGTCCAGCATCTTTACACAGTGCCTGATGGCAAAAGAAATACAGAGATGAAATGCATAAGACAAAAAATAGAAAGAAAATCAAAATCACAAACTACTCACTGCTTGTTGTGTGGGTCTTTCTCAATGATCTTCTCCAGCACATTGATTTCCAGTTTGGCTGCTTCCCTGTATTTCTCCAGGTTCTTAATGATCTTCACAGCAATTTGACGTCTTCCTCTGCATTTTAAAATACTGTGTTTAAAGCGAGTAAACACTATACATGTCGAATATTGGTCCAACGTTCATTTTTAGATGAAACATTACCTGCCGTGGTCCAAACATTGTACCACCTTCCCAAAAGTCCCCTCACCTAAAGTGTCGACGATCTCATCTGTAAAGCAGATTGAGGTGAAACAGGACATTAAAGCTGGAGAATTTTTATTTGAGCAGCCAACTCTTCTTGAACTGAACTGATACCTACACCTGTCTTCGAGGACGTCCCCCTTTTTGTAGATCAGGTGACCGTTCTCTGTGTCCCTCTCGTTGTCGTCTGCAGCCTCCCCGCTGCTCCGCTGGAAACAGAGCCAACCAGAGTGTATGAAAGGTGGAGCAGAGGAAGCAAAATCAGGGCAGAAATCCGCCTGTTTTAGTCACTTTCATCACTCCCCAACTAAAAACAGATTGAGTAACATTCTGACCTCTGGGCTTAAAAGGTCAAAGGTTACCAGCTGGACTTAACACCTGACTTAGAATGATGCATTCAAACTTGCAGACAAATCCACAAACAATAACACACATTTGCACTGAAAGGCACTTAATTTCATGCATTACCTCAGAATGGCAGACTGTCTTAATGCAGCCAGGATTTTAAAAAAAATGAATAAATAAATAAATAAAATCCTCAAGAATGTGAGCTTATGTGCTGAGGTTGAACCTACTAACCTGAGCTTGTTTTAAAAGAAGCTAATAAGAAATGTCAAATGACTTCTGGCCTCTTTGGAGGAGCTGAGGCTCTATTTCCATCCACATTCTGAGACTGTTATTAATATCAGAAGCCCAGCATGTGCTGAGGAGACACTTACTGTAGGACACAAAATAGACCGTGTACAAAAGCGAGCACTGACACATATAAACACACACAGTCAGCATGTGATTTGTTGTTAGAGGATTGCGGAGCTTGAAGACGAAAATAAAATAATGTAGTGCCACCACATAGTGCAGATGTTCAGGTCAAACGTCAACCACGATGCAGAGGTGACAAACATTTGTAAAGAGAAAGTGAGAGAAGTGGCAATACTAATGGTAATATCAGCTTAACAATTTGAGTGAAGAGTTGAATCTTGTACATAAATGTCAGAATATCTGTGTCCCCCTTTTGCTTTTAACAACAGCGTACTCTCGTGCTGGCATGGACTCCACCCGTTCGTGCAAAACCTGATGACCCATATTATCGCAGCATGTTCTGACGATGTTCCAGCTTCTTGCGGTGTCACACAATGCTTGGCTTTCTCAGTCTTCATACCCCGATTAAATGTTCACTGGGGTTGAGCGCCGCTGACTGTTGAGGCAAGTTCCTGACAGTCAGGACTTCTTGGTCTTCTTTGGTGTTTAAGTGGCTCTTCTAAAGCTTTGAGGTGTCTATGTGTGAGGGGGGTCATTATCCTGCTGCGGTATGATTCACTCTCCAAAAAAGACGCAAACCAAAGGCTACAGCATGTCTCTGAGAGATGGAGTGGTACCTCTCCTTGGTCAGTGAGCAGTCAATTCAGTCCAATTCCAGAGTAGGAAAAAAAACATCCCCGGTCTTGAATATTCCCACCACATTTTACAGTGGGGCTCCAGCCCCCCGCGACCCTACAAGGATAAGCGGTATAGATAATGGATGAATGGATGGATGGATTTTACGGTGGGTTTGATACACTGCGGTATCATTGTCTGTCCTGTTCGTCTTCTTACATACACCCCTCTGTTACTGCCATAAATCTCAAACTCAAATTCATCAGTAAATAGGACTTTTTCCAGTCATCCCTGTGATACTCTGGTACGTCTTAGCCCATCCGAAGCGTTTCTGGCCTTGTTTCCACTCCTGAGAAGTGGTTTTGAAACTGCTACTGATCCTCTGACACCACAACAAGACAGCCTTCTTTTGATAAGACTTTTGCTGGCTTGTGTTTTTTATTTAGCAAAAGTCTGTATCTGTGGTGAAACTGATTTTTTTTTATCTCTTTAGGGAACTATGCTTGATGTATTTATCTTCTGATGTTGTGGTCACTTTTGATCTGCCTCATTGTGCTTTGTATCCACTTGCAAAGCCTTTTAGAGCTCCATGCTCTGCCCCCTTAGAAACCTTAAGCCTAACCATGATTTGACGTTGAGAAAGCCCCTCTCTGCTTAGAATAACAATTTGACTTCTGACTCTTTCACTTAGTTCTGATGTCATTTTCCTCACCATCATCATGCTGCTTGGTAAGCAGACACAGCCTTATTTATAACAGGTGAACATTAGCTGTCTAGTCTAGTTACCTAAAGGAGCCTCTCATTAATCAATCAAATCCATCTGAGTGTCATCGGCATACACGCTTCAATGGAAGGGATACAAGTCAAAGAAATCTGACCTTTTGTATAAAGGAGTTAAGCTGTTCAATGCCCAAAATTCACTGAAGTTTGACCACTGACTTAGAAATAGTGCAGATTCTTGAATCTCATACATAAATACCGTATAATCTTGTGTTTTCAAAAGTTTCTGAATCTTATTGTTTACAGGTTTACCTTGAAATATTATAGATTTTCAATGTGGTCTCACACTTTTGGACTGGATAATAGATGCACACCAAACTCATGCACAGAAAATGAAATGGAGATACTCACAGAGAGGCAGAGGCAAATACAGTCCAAAAAACCCTTATACAGAGAATACAGCTCTGTCTTTCCCATTATGCAGAGGTGCAGAGCTACTCAGAGAGGGGACGAGCTTGAGTGGAAGAGGATGAAGGGATGTTGTAATAAGGTGTAGGAGAGCGGCAGGTGGAGCAGCAGCAGGAAAACTAGACAATGAGGAATTGTGGAGAGAAAAGAGAACGGGACAATACAGTATTAAAGCAATGGCACAGAAAAAAAACTGTGCCATTGGACAAGGAGTTGTGACAAAGTAAAAAATAGCCTACAGTGTTGTCAACGGAAACCAGAGGCAAAGGAGAGACACGACCACACGGTCCAGCCGCAAAACCCACAGAGGAAAAAATACCTTTTAAGAGGAATAAAAAAAGTCAAACACTGAAAAAACAAGAAAGTGAACAAGACAGCTGAAGCACAAGACAAATACAGAAAGTGACAGACAGAAATGAGACGATAAGACAGGAGGAGGAGGAGGAGGAGGAGGAGGAGGGCGACTGGCAGACAGAGAGCGAGAGCTGAGACAGATGCTAATAATAAACTTTGGTCACAACCCCCTGAGAAAGTCTTCAGAGGAGAATCAAGATGTGGTCAGGGGGAGCGACGGAGGGGAGAGAAGGAGGGGATCCAGTTTCACTCAACTTACTTACTCTCCTCCTTGCACCTCCTTAACCCCTGCAATATGTTTTGCCACACCTGTCCGGCTCTGCAAGCTGCAGATGCCTTTCAATATACAGCCAATGCCTTCTTAACAGAAATTCAATTCAATTCAATTTTATTTGTGTAGCGCCAGATCATAATATACATTATCTCGTGGCACTTTAACGTGAAGAGTAGATCAATGTGATCAATCAGTTATCAGATCATTAACCAATAGGGATTTAGAAGAGAGTGATCTGATATTTAATCCACATTTAACTGTCTTGTTTTTTTTGTTCTGTTATAGTAGTTGTATTCATTTTTATTAGGTTTTTATGTATAACTCCTCTTCTGTTTATTTTTGATTCAATACATTTAGGAGGGCGGCGGCGGCGGGGGGGGGGGAGGGGGGGGGGGGGGGCAGACAGAGTTCCTAGGGGGTTAATGGCAGGCGACTGCATCTAAGAGAAGCGCAGAGAAGTGTGTAAGACCACAACTCTGCCTCCTAGCCTCATAACTGAGAATAAATAAATAACAATAACTGAGAGAGCTCATATAACGCTTTTAATTTGTAGTTCGTGTTTAAAGGGACACACTACTTGAACAAAGACGTAGATGAATAACATGAGGTGAGTTCATTAGAAAATTTAAAAAATATAACAACAAACACAGTTAAAATCAACTGGAAGTTCATAAAGTTGATTCAGATTATTGGTCACATTAGAAACAGGGAATAATTATGCAAAACCTGCTTAATTACATAAAAACGGCAGGTAAAATGTTTTAAAAACGTATGATTTTAAACATGTTAACACGATCCATCAATAACAAATCTTAGGAAATGATCACTTACAAAACACTTGACTTTCATGACTACTTTGAATGTATTACATTGTTTGGATCCAGACTTTTTAACACAGAAAATGTCAGAACAGGAGGCTCATGGGGAATTGAACAACTGCATACTCATCACAAATTCAGATGCACCTCATCGTAGTTGGGTCCAGGGAATATCAAGATGTCGCCATAAGGCTCGTCCTGCTGCACACACACCTTCCTGAGCGATATAGCCTCTACACACAAGACACAAGATGTCAAGTTTAAAATAATGATTTTCTTAAAAATAATCAATGTGCTGAAAATGAACTGAACACAGAAAGATCAAAGTAGTACAAATCAGGATGATGGCACACGACGAAGCAATTCAGCTACATGGTTAAATTGTTTATTTCTTAAATTTCTTTTTTTTTTTTAACTCAGCTCATAACACCTTACCATTAAAGCTTTCACTACTGACACCATATTTTCAAAGCCCTGACTTTTTCTAAGCTGAGAGTCAGATCTCAAAACTCGCTGACCACATTTTGACTAAAGAGCCTCCTCAGGTGCTGATGCTGTAAAATGAACACAACTTCAAAATGAGTAATGAGATGGCTCGATGATAACTGAAACTGATCCCTTACCCAGGAGCCTCTGAAAAATGGTGCTGACAGTTCTGCGGTCGACCCCTGGCGGCAGAAGAGACTGAAAGAGCACGGGTTCCGTTTCACGCTCAGCCACCTCCGGCAACAACCTACACACACACACACACACACCAGCACATAATCACGTTCTCATCTTTTAACGTATCAAAACAAAAGACTGCGAAAAGCAAACTTCTCAGCCCTGAGTTCCTACTGGTTAGTAACCGTGTTGCCTTCACTGTCATTACCCCGGAGACTCAGCTGCTGCTCCCGTCAGAAAATCATCCACCACCTCCGGGATGTCCTGCAGTGTGGAAACAGACCTGGAGATAATGGACCTGCAAACACACACACACACGCACGTAAGCATGACTGCGCTGGTACACTTCACTAATCTTTCTTTTTCTTTACATACCCTTCTCTCTCTGATGCGTACACAGGCGAAATCTCTCGAGATACCTCCCTCTGGTCAGAGGCCTCCAACGGCAGTGTACCCAGAGCTGGACCAACACACACACACACACACACACACACACACACACACACACACACCACACCCACACACACACACACACACACACATACACACATACTGATTAACACACACACACACACACACACACACACACACACACACACACACACAGGTTTTAGGACATTGCACTGGCTTATATTCATTCCCCGCAGGCTTGCTTTAACCTTTAATCATAAGCAATACATGCCTACCCCAACCTCTGACCTTGGCCTCACCCTCGTAAACATACAAACCATTTTAGCTCGTGCACACATTGAGGACAACAATTTTACCCCCAGTTAAACACAGACAAGCTTTCCCCAGTGAACCAGTTTAAATCCAAAATTTGTCTGTTGTCCAGTGGCTCAAGTTTTATTGTACTGGTACAGTCTGATGGTTTTCTTTACCTGAAGTGTCAAACATCTCTGATTCTGCCAAATCTGTATGGACCTGTATTCACACACAGACACACAGTTACTCATAATGTGACTTTTCCCGTCTTCTCCTTGTACATAAATGCTACACAGAAATCTATACCCCAGCAACACAAAAAAACAAACACTCTTTCGCACCTCTTTGGGGCTGATCCCAAGTCTCTCCTCCTCTCTTTCAGCCACCTCGATCATCTCGCGCTCTCTTTCCTTTTCAGAGTCCGTGGACTCGGGCCCTCTCTCCCCAACCTGCAGGTCCGTGCCAGAGAGCGGCGTGATAGTCGCAGCCTGTCTCCATAGAAACTGCACCGCTTCAGGCAAGACTGCAAGGGAAAAAATAGCTTTGTGGTTTATTTTTGAAGGTTATTTGAGTCAAGTCCTTTAGCAGCAGATGCAGAGCAGAAGTCCAAGGAAAAACAGAATTAAAGGTGACTGTGTTACACTTTACATGAGTAAATCATTATAACAATTAGGAGACATTACCATCAATAAAAAATAATAACAGAAGATTAACAACCTATATTCATTCACATTTTGAATTTGCTTCCACTATTTACAGTTTTATGTCACATATTTTCTTTACAGTGAAGGAAGAAAGGAAGAAAGCAGCAGCAGAACAGCATTTATTTTTAGAATCTATTACTATATTCTTTTTACACGTGTGTTACTGACAGGTGCAGGGGTTGTTGAGCAGCTCAGCAGCAGAGGGACCCCTGTGGGATGAAGGCGATATGAGAGGTGGACGTCTGGTCTCAGTCTGAGGGTTGTCGATCTGCTGCTGCAGCTCATCCTGGGGGATCTGCACCTCCGGGTCGATGAAGATCAGCTGCCTCTTCCTCCTCTTCATCTGCGGAGGGGACACGTCCTGGGCATGGGAGAGGTGTAGGAAGTAAATTTTTATTTAACTGTCCTCTACCTGTTAAATGTGTTTACTAAAATATACACTTTATTATGGGCTTTTAACCTTGTAACTAATGTTTTAATACCTTAACTTAACTAATGCTTTATTTTGGTTGTAAAGCACTAATAAGAACACATTTTGGCTAACCAAGATGAAAAAAAAATCCCTCTTCTTGTATTTTTTAGATATTTTGGGCAGCGTCTTTTTAATGGTTTATTATATTGTTGTCAGTAGAGAGATGACAGGAAGTGAGGGGGGAACGACATGCAGCAAAGTCGGGAAGTTACAGTTCATTGGTCTGTGTGTTACACCTCTATCGAAGCTATCAGAGAACCCTGCAAGAAAATCTCCTTGGCTGTTGTTTACCCTCCTCTAGCACGACACGTTTTCTTAATCTAAGGGATAAGAGATTAGATTTATGACAACAGTCCAAATAAAAACCCCTTAATTAATCATTAATTAATATTTATGATATAGCCCAACTGATACAGGCTGATACTGATATCAGCAAATAACACACAAAACACATGACATAAACAATGTCACACTAAGCTAATACGAGCTGATATATCAGCCTGGCCAAGCTCTAATTCAACTGTGACTTAATGGGTCAATAAACAGTGAGAAATTCCTGATGTTTTATTTAAAAGAGAAATCAAGGGTCACACAGATGAACAACAGCCAAAGGGATTCCTCTCAACCTGACAGCCCATAAGTTGTTCTTATTAATGGCTTATTACTGGTTAATAAATAATTAATTACTGATACGAATATGAAGGTACTTACAAATTATAAAAGAAAATGGTACCATATCGTCTCTTAAGCAAAAACCACAGAAGAAGGCACCTCTAACTCCAGGCTTGGTCTTTCACGCTGCCTTGCTACGGATGGTGGTGAGGGGAGGACGGGTACAGAAACGGGGGTGAGCTGGTCTGAGGGGGGTCCTAGCTTCTCCACTGGCAGATCAGGCTCTTCCTGAGGCAACAACATGGCGTCCTCACTGGTACTGGTGCGGGTGTCGGGCTGTAATCTGATGGAAAGGCAGAAACACAGTCAGAGGATCTGTGCGTGTTTGTGCTGGTGTTTTCACATGCATGCGTCCAGATAATTTACTCAGTAGTGGATCCTGTGAGCTCCTTCTCTCTCCTCTCCACGTCTCTCTCTCTTCTTTCCCTTTCTATCTCCCTCTCTTCCTCACTTGGTGTCACTTCTTCTCTCAATATCTCTTCCTCTCCTGTTAGAAAAGGTTAAAGGAAGAAATGACTTCAGTATGCAAGGATCTCTCCTTCTTCCTTTTCATCCCAAAACTCTTATTGTCAGCCTTCATGGGATAAAGGAGCTCTTAGTTTTCCCACACACCTGGAAAGTGATCTGTTTGAGCCAAGAGGAAGTCGAGAGTATCTGGATGCTGATCGACAAGCTCCACACCTTCAAACTAGCATTAAGAAGAGAAAAGAGAAGAAGGAAAGATGGATACAAGTGTATCACAATAATGTATATGTCTTGACATGGTTTTCTTTTTACAGCTGCACCTCTGTAATGGGGATAGCGACAGGCTCCAACTCTCTCATAGTGATGGTGTCTGGAGATGCTGTTATTTCTAGGGAAAAATAAAGAATGGATGATATTAATTAAAAGGCACTTTCAACATTTCAGTTACACAGTCCATTGAAGCCAGCAGGAGCGGACACAACTAATCAAGCTGCAATTAAACTGCTCTCCTCTGCCAAGTGAAGCGCAGCTGCACAACACATCCCGACACCGCGGCATCAGCCTCGGCCAATTAGGAGGATGCTGTTGATGGCAGCCTGCTCTGCCCTGACCTGACCTACAGCAGTATCTCTCTGCTCCTTATTTCTGCCTGGGTTTGCACACAATGTGAGCCCTGTCTGTTCCTGTGACCTGTCTGCATTTCAGTGCATATCACTGCACACGGCCCGACATACTGGACATATCTGGTATTATATGTCTTTCTGTAAAGCTGCATAGCTGGCATTTAATTAAAACGGATAATCACATGATTAGGACAGGCCTTGTATGTTCTCTTGCACTGGAATGTAGATGCTTCTATTAATATTTCAAATAGTTGTAAGTCTACTGAAAAAATGAAGCTACTTTATAGACTGTCAGCTGGAAAATCTAATTTGTAAATCTGTATCTGGTATTTTATCCTAAAATGGTCAAAGATTACTGTTAATGGTGATGTAATAATTAGCTTAATAACCGATAACCAATTTGAGTTACTGCACAGATTTGTTGAATACTCAATATTAATTGATAAACGAACAGCTGAACAAACTGCTCATGACAAACAGATGATCCATTCATATTTTGAGTGTTTTACAGGCGATACAAGATCAATGGAAAAGGCACAAAATTTCATCACTTTACATGGAAATAACCTGCATTATAGCTTTATTTCTGACATTTTTCTGCTGTATTTGTGTATAAATAGTAAAAAAAATATTGTACAACAAAATTTGTACAACCTTGAACTGTTCTATAATAACATTTTGAGTGATTATCACTAAGGAACCTTTGTCATTTTTCTTGCATGTTTTGGGAACTTGGCAGCTTTATACTTTGTAAAATTGATAAAATGATGAGTTAAGATTATAGCTGAGTGTGTGCTAACAAAAAGGATACCATGCATGTTGGGTAAAGACAGTTTAAAAGGTGCTAAATGGGGAATGCATAGATGGTCAGCAAAAATGAACCAAAATCAACCTGGACTCCAATATCACTAAGGCATTGTAATAATCTAATGGTAACAGTTTTTATCTATTTATATATACTGTATACATATATATTTGTTTAATTTCATTTCACCATTTTGAGAGGCATTTTATTACATGTATTAATTTATCTGGCAGTTAATTCCTCATTTCAGAGTTGTCTTAGTTATTTTTGCTTCTAAAGTACATTCTATTTTTTACTGCTGCAATGACCCACTGCCCTGAAGAGATCATTATTTTAATATCATTACAGCGCATCAAGTCATCCTACCGCTTTCTGATGCAACAGCAGCAGTGGGGCTGGTCAGCTCAGGATGCGCAGGGGAAGCTTCTCTCAGATACTCCTTACCCATCTGAGAGACACAGAACAGGCAGAGTTAATTGTTCTAAATTAGTGCAATTATTTTGATGATTTACAGCTTTACCTCCACTTACAAATGTATGCTAAAGGTTCATTTCCTTTTTCTTATTTTGGTATTTGCTACCTGTATCAGTGGACCGGGGCTGGGCATTGGATGCTGCATGTACATCATTCCAAACAAAGGGTCCAGAGCTCCTTCCGTCTCCTCCAGGAGAGACAGAGCATCCGGGAAGTTCAGAGGCCGTCTGAAAGACAGCCACGAAGTACACGAGTTACTTTGCGTTTGGTAAGACAAGCGAATGTTTAAAATGTTGAGCCCATGTTCTCACCTGCCCTGATCTTCCATGTCAATCTTCATGGTCGTCCTCTGTTTCACCAGCTGGTCCACAATGGTGTGAAGTTCCTCTAGAAGGAAGCAGGGTTAAAGTCATGTACCCCTGCATTCAGCATCACTTTGCTCCAGTCTGATAGAAAATATTCTTACCCAGGAAAATAGAACACTGGCGGTGGTAGACAACGATTACGCCATACTGGAGCTGGGACGACAGGTAGAGGGAGAAGCGAGGGCGAGGCAGACCAGTTTGAGGTGGCGGGACCCGCTCCAGCACATAGTTCATAATGTCGTCACTGTACAGGACATTCGTATAGTAACTGCAGGGCTCACAGTTCAGCCAATTATAAAACCTAAAAAAAATTAATATAACTTACCATGTGCTTTTAACATTCACTTTTAGGAAATCCCGTCGAGGTACTCTGATACCCTTTGTAGCAACCAACCTGAAATAGGACCAGGACACAGACACGATATTGTTTCATATTTTATTCATCAGGATACAAGAGCTAAAGGGAGATTAAGTAATCGAACCTTCAAACTGCACTAGCAGCTGGTAAAACCTGCAATCAGTTGACTCTTTCTCAGTTGGGATAAGTGTCTGATGCAACTGAAACCTCAACCACAAACCTCTCTCCTGTCTCTACAATTAATACTGGTCTGTATCCTAGACATTTACTGTTTGAGACATACACAAAAACATATTTTCGAGAAATCACTTTTAATTACCGCCATATTGAGAATGTGTTCATTTCACATTTACTTTTTCTACGTGCATTTATTTTCCTTTTATCAGAACCAGCGGCCTTTGACCTTCACCTCATCTTCAAAGCTATTGTATTTCCTAAAAGGGACTTCAAAGTTGTTTTGTCTGCTTTGTTGGTGTTACCACATTTTAGTTATCTTCGCCACTGATGCACCTGCACCGGGGGATTTTTTTTTTTCCTTCACACATATCTATGTCTGCACCCAAAGTTTCTTTTAAAAGGTGGAGCAGCTGCATTTAAATGCGGAACTATATTATACATATTAAAGTTTGATAAAGAGTATGTACACATTTGACATGTTTTTTCAGGAAGGAATATAAGAACAAAACCTCTTGAGTGTAGACCTTAAAACTAGCCTAGCGGGTAGGAAAAAGCATTATGCTTCTGTTAGCATTTACATCAATTACAATGGTGTAAATTACAACCACGTATTTTAAAGCACATTTAAACGGCCTGTTTAAACGGCATGAAATTCAACCACTTAACTCAAAAGAAAAACAACCCAGTTTGAAAGATTTTCCATAAATAATGAGCTGTAGTGATACAGTTGATTTCCCAGTGACAAAACCATATGAGCTAGCCAAAAAGAGTTGGTACAATAAAGTCACTTCACGGTAGCTAAACAATAGGTCGACCTGAAATAGTCAGAGAAAATGTTTACTCACCAAATTGTAGAAAAGCATCCAGTATGACGCCTTAAAACTGTGGGGTAGTAAAACATTTTTGATTTTTTTTTTTCCCGAAAATCAATTAAATAGCTGATCAACCCCGATAAATTACACCGATTAGTCTAGATCAGAGTAGATTGTGTCCACTGCTCGACAGTAGATGGATGTTTGTCGGTTAAAAATTATTTTAGTTTGAGACAAGCTGATTGGTCAATCCCGCTGAGAGAGACTGGGGTCACATGAACACTCGTATGAGAAAACCGCGTTATTTTCCCACCGAGCTGGAGACGGCCGCCACTTCTTGTTACCAGTATGGGTGCTTGGAGCGGCCAAAAAGGAGGAAGAAAGACATTATTTCAGCAAAAATTAATCACATTTGATATAAGTAAACACAGCATAATATTGCACATCAATGAAATCAAACTATGATAAAATTCGAAGTTACTGTACTGCATTATTTTTATTTAACCAGGGAGCTCGAAAGTTAAATTATCATAAAATATCTCTTACCTGTCATAACAAACCTTTCCTATGTAGGAAATTCCAACGGATTCCTGTTCAGGATGACCCTGGCTACGACCAAACAAATGTTCATATGGTCATATAAGGGAAATTCAGATCACATTAATCATGTAATAATCACATTATAACACATTCATAATTTCCTTATATCGAACATTTCTGTATTACAATACAAAATGATAATTATGCATTGGCCTACATATGAATGCTGTGGTGAAAACATCTGCCTGTATTTTATTTGACTGAACTTTTCTTTTGTGTTTTCTTTATAATCTTTCCCATAACAATCAATCTGGTTAACCTTGAAATGTACCGTTTATCTTTTTAATGTCCTATACTGTTTCAAAAGAAAGAGCAGGAGCATTGATTCATTGAACAAAATCACATTTTATTCTGGGGTAAACAAACAAGTTATGAATAATATGTGTTAAATCTGGACACACATTCATATAAAATAAATGCAAAAAAATAGCTGTAATAAAATCATAGTTCAACTTAAAAAAAAACAAAACAAAACAAAAACAAAACAAAACAGAGTTACAGTGTTGAAGGGGTTCTGCTAAGTTTCCTACAGATGCAGCAGAAAGAGTCAAGTACATGATGGTTTTGGATCACAGTAGCCTTCCTCTGCACTCGGTGGATCCACAGCAGCAGAGCAGCACTTTACCCTCCACACTGCCCACCTCATAGTTGTAGTCCCAGGTCAGCTCTGTGCCGGCCCGGATTCGCCTACACGGGGATGCAAGCAGGCAAGTCAGTGAATCAGTCATCTTAATACCATACAGACAATGAGCCAACAGAGTGCACTGAGTAGCACTTTAATAAGTGCCTTTTTCTGGAGAGGCTAATAGTTGGATCTACTACTGCACAAAAAACATTATTGCATGAGCTATAAATACAACGGTGTGGGTGGAAATCCTGTATCAGTATTTATTAGATGTTTTGTGAACCAGCAAATGGCTCTTTGTCTGTAGATTAATAGGATGTGTGCCTCAGCATGTTAGAGCGGTTCAATCCCCATACTCCTCCTGTCCACACTAAACCCAGCAGCTGGTTAGGCCAGTGACTTGCATGGTTATTGGAGCCATTGGTGCGTGTCAATGGGTAGGTGAGATGCTTCAGATAAAAGCACTGTATAAATCCAGTCCTTTTACATTAATCTCAATTGATGGGGATGGCTTATATCAATACAAACACTATTTTACAATAAAACAGTAGAGGATTCATCATTCCTAAATATATAAATATAAAGCCAATCTGAGCCCTAAACATGACACAGCAGTGCCCCCCTAAGGTCATCGCCAGACAACAGCCTCACAAAAAAAGAAACTGCAGCTGTCTCATTCTTTTCAATAGGCTAGTGTGTGAACAGTGGAGCTGCCAGTGCAGAGGGCATCAGGAAATAAATGGGGCATCTGAATGGCCAAGGGGTTTAAGATGGCAAAGCCTGGCCAGTGACCTTTGTCGCAAGTCATCTCTCATCTCTCTACTCTCATGTCCTGTCAATCCTGTACTAGATCCTATTTATTAAAGGCAAAATGTCCAAAACATACAAAACAACTGAACAGAAAAGGAACAACTCAGAATCAGCTGGCAAAACAGTTGAACCTAGCTCAACTTTTACTGCAACACAATGCAAAGTTATCTGGCAACACAATCAAATGCATGCCAATTCTGCCAAAGCACATTCCTGGTAGACTAAAAATTGAATGGTAAAATTCTTCAGTTTAGCTGACAACTGTCGTGATGGAAGATAAAATGATTCCTGCATTATAACTTTCCAGAGCTGTAAAATCTTTCCTGACACTAACAGAAATCTCTGTGCAGTGTTTTGGCATCTGAAAATCCTTCTAACTCATGCATCTATGGTATAACTTAAATCTGCCCTCCAGGATCATTTGTTAATTTTTCACAGCAACCTGAAACAAATGCAGGCTGTGGCATTATTTTTGTTTAGCGAAGCCTCCTGAGGCTGCCGAGATTTACAATAACTGATTAGATGACATCAAAGAATCTGTGACAAATTCAAAATGTTTCAAAACTCACTTGCTGGCAAAGAATGCCACCCAGGGGAATCGCAAATCATGTGTGTCCACAAACACATTCTGGACAAAAAGGTTAGGACTACAGCTGTGCTGTAATACAGAGAAGGGACAAAGTGTGAGATAAACACATGGGATGGTAATTTAAATGGCATCAAATCATTATACTGCAATAGATCCTTACATTCAGGTAACGCCCAAGGTTTCCTTCTAACTTGGCATCGATGATGTAGCACGACTCTTCCCCGTCAAAGAACTGGCGGGTGTTTTTGGGAGTGTTTTCCGCGCCTCCTCCAGTCTGTCCCTGCTGCCCTGTTTTTCCTCCCTGACCACCCGGCCCACCCACACCTCCAGGTGCACCTGTTTTTACCATAAGACCATGGCTGGTCTTCAGGGCAATGCCACGTGTAGATTTAACTGCTACCTGCTTCTTAGTCACACCTGAGCCAGAACAGCAGCAACATGGGAAAAAAGAAAACAGGCAATACCATGTGGTCATCATCAATGTAGTGTAAACTCAAGAAGTGTCACGTTCGTCCGTTCTCTTCTATTTACCTGGGGTGACTTTTTCTCTCTCCTTGTTGTCTTCAGATCCAGAGCTGATGGTCTGAACATCATCGCTGTCAGAGAGAGTCATCACATCCTGCTTCTTCCCCGTTTCTGGCTTCACTGGACTGTAAGAAACACAAAATAACCTTACAGTGAAACATAGATGATATTGTCGATCACTAAGGTGCAAATTTATTGTAAAATAAAATACATTTCCAAGACCAAGTACAACACACCTCTTGCTGTCTCCGGATTCCTGTGATGGAAAAGAGAAAAAGGTTCAGGATCATCATTCAAGAAAATCATACTACAAAATCTCCTTAAATAAAAACCACCTTTTACTCCTAACAAAAGATCACATATCTACAACGAGAGTTCTGATGAGCAGGAGGATAATCATCTTTATTTTTTATTTCTGTATGAGACACAGTATGCAGTCATTTTAAAAAGGCTGTGAACACAGCGCTCAGTTCCATGTAACATTATTCTTTCTTTATCTTCTCTTTACTCACCTTCTTCAGCCCCTGGCTTGTTAACCAGGAAGCCACTTTGCTTTTCCCCGTTTCCTCTGGTATGGACGGTGGCTTCTCGTCATCGGTTCCCCTGGCTGAGGCACTCAGTCCATCTTTACTGTCTTGACTCCCTGGGACAGGAAGGAGAGACATGTGAGAAAGGCACACTTGAATGTCAAGGTATTAAATGCTAAAAATAAAGTCATCAAAAAATTACAATTCAACCAATTAGATGGTTTATTGTCCAAAATTATATTAAAAAAAAGGTCATCAGAGCTCCACAATCTTAATATTCTATAGATGCTCATTTTGTCTTACCAAAAGTAAAATATTACACCAGCTGTTTTGCAGTGAGGTGAAGCAACAGACTCTATGATGCTGGGATTTAGTCAGATGATGGAAAAGGCTTTAATAAAGTCCTATAGCAGTTATGCTAGAGTTAATCACCCATTAATCTGTATCTAACACACCCTCAACCACTCTGCCCCCCTCTGAGTTTAAGTTAAAGACACAACCTGCTCACCTTCCTTGTTGCCCTTGACCTGACCACGTGTGGTGTAACTCCTCCACACAGAGCTGGAGCTGTAGTAGTTCTCCTTAACAAACGTGTCATCTGAACTGTCGCTTTCATCTTCACTCTTCGAGTCTTTGTCATCGTCGTCATTGCTGTCGTCTGATGAGCTTGAGCTTTGGGCTGTGACAGAAAAAAAAACACGTGAAAAATCATGTGGAGAACGGAGAAGATTAATGGTCAGCTAACGTCAAGAAAGCAAATCCTGCTGAGAATCTGCCCACGTCTACTAGAGATTTCTAACCTTTGGATTTGGACTCACCCTTCCTGGGCGGTCGCCCCACAGGGTTAGATGATACTAAAGCAGATGGTTGGATTTTTATCCTGGAAACGTCCACACCGCTTCCCTCACTGTCCGAACAGTGAGCCTCGCTCTCATAGCCCTCCTTGAAGTTTTCCACACTCTCTATATGATCCAGATTAGCAAAATACTCGTCACCCATTTCTAAACCCTCTTTGTCTGCAAAGTCGTCCGTCAAGATTTTACCTGGTGAAGTGGAGGAAAAAAGGGAGAGGAATAAGTCACTTTGTAATCAGGTCATCTGCTGTGGACCCACACAGAACCATTCCTTTAAGTCTGTTCCCTTTCCTCACCAGCATAGATGCAGACAAAAGAGCCCTTCGCCACATCATCCAGACAGCGGATGCCCCATCCTTTGTTCTGGGTCTTGAAGAGCTGGAGACGCACCTGCAGGCCGTGCTGAACAAGCCGGTTGGTGCACATCTGAACACAACATTTGCATCGCTTATTGCACTCGTAGATTCTGAGAGAGAAGAAGAGATAATGGCCTCTGAGACAAGACAACCAAATTAGCCGTTACATTCAACAGTAATTATCTTCTTATGAGGTTATGAGG